TAATAAAATTAAAATTACCATCAGGTTAATAATAATAAGCCAAAACAAGAATGTGTCCATAGTACACGGATGCCCCACTCGCACTATCATGTTCTATATTCAGTAGACCGTGAAATTGGGGTCAAAACTCTAATTTGGCATTAAAATTAGATATATCATATCATAGGGAACATGAATACTAAGTTTCAAGTTGATTGGACTTCAATTTTATCAAAAACTACCTTGACCAAAAACTTTAACCTGAAGCGGGACAGACGGACGGACGGACGAACGAACGGACGTACAGACCAGAAAACATAATGCCCCTACTACTATCGTAGGTGGGGTATAAAAATGAGAGTAAATCAGACCAGTGTTTAAATTACAAAGCATGGTTGTAGACAATGGTTACAGCCAGGGAATCACTCCGTTACCAGTGGTAATATGAAGGACGCGTATAAGTAAAACGATAGCTTTAAAGAAGGAAGAATGTCAATAATGAATAATCATGATGACCTGAATAAACTCCATCAGACCAAAAGCTATGGATATGTGAATTTATTAAAAAAAACTCAAAGGATCTCCACCGAACTAACTTAAGAGTTAATGTTAACTTTCTCCACAAGCATTATCAATGATAAATTGACAATAAAGAAATATGCATGCATTTAATTAAATGTTAACAACAAAGATTACAATTATTAGTTAGAATTTGTTTGGATGCTCGGTTTTATATGCTCTATAACCTCCTAGTAGACAATTCGTAAATCTGTTCCAAAGCCTTATTAGCTTTAAATAATAATTCGGTAACAAATGATTAAATCACAAGGAGCACGACTTTTCCAGGATAACAACCAAGAAATAGTGCCTGGCCTGGAATAGAAACTTACAACTAAGACAGTGGGACAGAAATTAATGAATGAATGCAAGAACATATCAAGAACTAATGATTACAAGACCATATATTCCACTGAATAATTAGATCAAGATCAAGATCAAGAACATGACAAAGAATACAACAGCTACAGCTAAGTGTGCCTCAAATCTTGACTACGGATTGGTTGAAAACTAAACTTTGCGATAAAAAACATGATTTCAGCTTTCCCTTTGTGAACTTTCTATTTTCACATTACATCACAGCTGCTGTGAATTTGATTTGGAGGCTTCTATAGTGCATTATAGTTAATACTAAACTGAAAATGGGCCAGAGATACAATTGGCCAGGTTGCATGCTCCTAATTTGTAAGGCCATACAAATAGTAATAACACTGGTATCTGACATGGCACTATTGTAACGCTGTAAGGCCATACAAATGGTAATAACACTGGTATCTGACATGGCATTATTGTAACGCTAGTAAGGAATGGTGACATCTTCAATGAAAATATAAACATTCTAGAATGTTTGAGGGCTTTAGGTGTTGTTTATACAAAATGTCGATCCTCCATCGAGAATGCTACTAACTAGACATCATTGAGATGGGAGCCATCTCTGTGGACCCCGCTGTAAATAATGTAGGTAAAAAATATGTATGGATAAGCTGATATGAAGCACTTTTTAAAGTTATACCCTCTAGTTTTGCTTAATATACATGTCAAGTATAAACTTTGAAATCATAACGGTTCTAAAGATATAGAGCAGACATGATCTGTACAATAGGATATGGGGTTGTCAACTGAAACCAAAGTTTTTGACCTTGAACTTTGACCTAGGAAGTTGTACATACATTATGACACACCCTCTGGTGATGGTTAATATACATGTCAAGTATAAACTTTGAAATCATAACGGTTCTAAAGATATAGAGCGGACACGATCTTTACCATAGGACATGGAGTTTTCAACTGAAACCAAAGTTTTTGACCTTGAACTTTGACCTAGGAAGTTGTACAAACATTATGACACACCCTCTGATGTTGGTTAATAAACATGTCAAGTATAAAGTATGAACTTATAACAGTTCTCTTGATATAGAGCAGACACAATTTGTTATGGACGGAGAGACGGACGGACGGACAGACAAACGGATGGATGGATGGACGGGCAGACAGACGGACAGACTGATCACTATAGGGCGATACGCCACTAGGCGGGACCCTAATTATTGACTGAGTTTCACCATCTGTAAAATCTGCAAAAAATCTTCAAAAGTGTGCATAAAACTATGTGCTCCTCCTCAATGAATATATAAATATCTTGTTTGAAAACTGAAGCGAGTTGATTAACAAGAGGCTGTCTCGAGTGACAGCAAACCGGATTTTCCTGCATAGGTCGAACCCTGAACAGTTGAGCAAGTATGGACACAACATTTAAGCTTAAAACAGCTCTGAATTTGGATTGTGATTGAATATTTAAAATAGATTATTATGTAATTAATAATGAAAATGATATTTGCAAATCTGAACCCAAAGCAGGATCATGTAAAAATTAAACATTAACACACACAACAAAAATAAAATACCACATAACAACTGTGACATCTACCTTCATAGCACACATGACTTAAAGAAAATAGTTATAAAGAAATTTTGACAACTAATGACTAAAATTAATTGAACAGAATCCATATACTTAATTTATCATTACTGGTTCATGGAACAAGTTTGAGTTATTTCCCTTTGAACAGAAATATGGTTTGACTAATAAAGCAAACATAGTTCTCTAAAATTAGATATGATGTTACACAAGGTATATCTATTTTCAAATTATAATCAAATATAATTAATAGTTCCAAATATTTTTCTTTCATTTGTCACAAACTAATACAGATCTGCAACTTATCTATCAATGTCAACAACTTTATCTTCACAATGTAATGTAATGAAATATATCCTTTAATAAAAATAGATTATTATCTAATTAAAGGAGTTCACTTCATCAAATTTTTTTTATATATATAGCATTCAGAAAATTAGTTTATACAGAACAACAAACAAACCTATCACAAAATTCCTCAAACAACTTACCAAAGAAAAGAAAAAAAATCCAAAATGTCATTTATCATTAATACAATGTTTTTAAAAAATCTTTTAAAAAATGAGTTATTTCCCTTTGTACAGAAATGGAATAATTCATCAAAATTTGAATTCTTGGGAAAGGGCTATAACTCAACAACGAGAAAAGCTACAATCGTGAAAATTGAACTTTACCTTCCTTTAGTCACAGGAAACAACTTATCTAAATTTGAAAAAATTTCGTCAAAGCGTTTTCATGTTAATGAACGGACACTGTTTGGCAGCTGCCAGCCCGTCCGCTCGCCCGCCTTACATCCACAAATCAATAACCAATTTTTCATTTGAAAATCCGGTTAAAAATGGGTATTCTCTTTTGAAATTGCAATGGAAATTTCCCATCAAATTTTATAAATCTGCACAAAAAATCCATATGTGGACATAAAATTTTAAAAAGAGTGCACACACTGAAATGTCTTGCCTTCTTTACTAACCACTGATATTATGTTGATAGTCCAAAATATAAAGCTTTACTACAACTATCAACCTTACAATCATTCAATACACTAAATATAGTTGACCTATTGCTTATAGTTTCTAAGAAACAGACTAAACCAAGAAAACTAAACATTGACCAATGAACCATGAAAATGAGGTCAAGGTCAGAGGAACCATGCCAGGCAGACATGTACACCTTTCAATCAACCTATGCATTAAATATAGTTGACCTATTGCTTATAGTATCTAAGAAACAAACTTAACCATGAAAACTTAACATTGACCAATGAACTAACAAAATGAGGTCAAGGTCAGATGATACCTGCCAGACAGACATATACAGCTTACAATCCTTCTATACAAAAAAATATAGTTGACCTATTGCTTATAGTTTAAGAAAAACAGACCAAAACACAAAAACTTAACACTGAGCAATGAACCGTAAAAATGAGGTCAAGGTCAAATAAAGCCTGCGAGACTGACATGTGCATCATAAAATATTTCCATACACCAAATATTGTTGACCTATTGCATATAGTATTAGAAAAAAAGATCAGAACTCAAAAACTTAACTTCGACCACTGAACCATGAAATAAGGTCAAGGTCAGATGACACCTGCCAGTTGGATATGTAAACCTTACAATCTTTCCATACACCAAATATAATAGACGTACAGTATAAGAAAAACAGACCAAAACACAAAAATACTTAACTATAACCACTGAACCATGAAAATGAGGTCAAGGTCAAATGACACCTGCCAGTTGGATATGTACACCTTACAATCCTTCCATACACCAAATGTACTAGACCTATTGCTTATAGTATCTGAGATATGGACTTGACCACGAAAACTTAACCTTGTTCACTGATCCATGAAATGAGGTCGAGGTCAAGTGAAAACTGTCTGACGGGCATGAGGACCTTGCAAGGTACGCACATACCAAATATAGTTATCCTATTACTCATAATAAGAGAGAAATTAACATTACAAAAAATCTTAACTTTTTTTTCAAGTAGTCACTGAACCATGAAAATGAGGTCAAGGACAATGGACATGTGACAGTCGAAAACTTTGTAACATAAGGCATCTATATGCAAAGTATGAAGCATCCAGGTCTTCCACCTTCTAAAATATAAAGCTTTTAAGAAGTTAGTTAAAACCACCGCCGCTGGATCACTATCCCTATGTCGAGCTTTCTGCAACAAAAGTCGCAGGCTCAACAAAAATGTTCCATGTATAAATAAACGTTCAGAGGGTTCTTGGTTTTTTAACCGTATGAGAAGATGATTAACACCGGACAATTACCGTACTATAAGCCAGATTTGCACTTAATGCAGCCCTGTCAACAATTAAAACTATATAATTCTTAATAAAGAGACACTATGGACTGGACATATTTTTAAAATGATTTTTTTATTTTCCAGGAAGATCAACATATATTTTACTTTAAACACCATAAATGTTGCATTTGTTTTGGCCCTCATTTGATTATAGGTTTCCCATGTTTGTTACTTTCTTACATCATATCCAGCAATCTTACTTGCATAATATAATAAAACGCTGAACAAAGGTACAAATATTTACTTTCATAAACTAAACAAGAACAAATACCTTTAACATCTTTTCTTACAGAGACAAAACATTTAAGTAAAATATAATTAACTTTAAGAACCTTCAACAAATTCATACTGCATCATGGTGACACTTTATTCAATACTGTAAATTCAGAAATTATTGCCATGTTTAGATTGATGCTAAAAGTGCGGCAGTTTAAGGTTAACATTAAAAAAAACTTGCATTCATAATTTTAGTAGTGAGTTTCCTTCATAAAATCTTTTTGCCAATGGTCAAGGATTCCCAATAATAAACGCACACATTAATTTTTGAATTTACAGTATTCATGAGCTTTCTACATGGAATAGAGATCATAAAAGTGATAATTTTTAACAGAAGGAAAGAAACTTTTAAATGTCTTTGATTTTTAGAAGAATCAATGAACAAGCACCACTAAATTAGAGAGTAACTTTCATAGAAAATGTACATTCTAATTTTTGATTTGATGATGTACATCTGAGTTAATATGATAAATAGATTTAAGTAATATAGGTTAGGTTGGGTTCCTGAAAATTATGACAATATGACACATGTTAAAAAAAAAAAAAAAAGAGCATACTATCCAGACATACAGGATATTTATTGACAATAAATGTCAATATATTTTTAACATATATATTGGTATTCTATGGAAAAATAAAATGCTCCCCAGCAGGGCGCAGCTTGATACGACCGCAGAGGTCGAACCCTGAACAGTTGGGGCAAGTATGGACACAACATTCAAGCTTGATACAGCTTTGCATTTGGATTGTGATTAAATATTTGACACAGCATAGGTTTCTGACACAGAATGAATGTGGTCTAAGAACTTAAAAAATTTAAATTGGACATTCACCTATTATGGTCCAATATCCAAAATCTAAATACATGGTCAGATTCAGCATATCAAAGAACCCCAAGAATTCAATTTTTGATGAAATCAAACAAAGTTTAATTTTGGACCTCGATTTGGACCAACTTGAAAACTGGGCCCATAATAAAAAATCTAAATACATGTTTAGATTTAGCATATCAAAGAACCCTAAGAATTCAATTTTTGTTAAAATCAAACTAAGTTTAATTTTGGACCCTTTGGACCTTAATGTAGACCAATTTGAAAACGGTACCAAAAAATTAAGAATCTAAATACACGGTTAGATTCGGCATATCAAAGAACCCCAATAATTAAATTTTTGATGAAATCAAACAAAGTTTAATTTTGGACCCTTTGGACCTCAATGTGGACCAATTTAAAAACGGGGCCCAAAATCCAAAAACTAAATACATGGTTAGATTCAGCATATTAAAGAACCCCAAGAATTCAAGAATAAAACCCCATTGAAATTGGTCAAGAAATAAGCAATTTATACGAAGTATCTTCTTTTGCACAACACTGTGCAATTAAATATTTCTTGCTATTGCTCAATACTGTACAATTGACAATTTCTTGCTATTGCACAATATCGTGCTATTGAATATTTCTTGCTATTGCGCAATACTGTGCAATTGAAGATTTCTTGCTATTGCGCAATACTGTGCAATTGAAGATTTCTTGCTATTGTGCAATACTGTGCAATTGAAAATTTCTTGCTATTGCACAATACTTATTATATAATAATTTACACATCCTGTTTGGTGTGTATCTCCTACCATACCACTATTATTTGCTTTTAAATATAAATCAGAAATAACCAACTTAAAATGGAAAATTTTAAAAGAAAAAAAAAAGGAAAAAAAGAAAAAAAAGGAAAAATAAAAAAATCCCCCCCCCCCAAATTTTTTGAACCCCCTTATGATTCATCACCCCCAAACTCAATCCCAGCCTTCCCTTTGTGGATTGGTACCTTGCAGTACAATTTCAGAGAGATCCATACACTTGAACACAAGTTATTGTCTGGAAACTAGAAAAATGTGTTTTTTGGCCCCAAATTCCTAAACGTTTAGGGCAATTACCCCCAAACTCAAACCCAGCTTTCCCTTTGTGATATGGAACCTTGTAGTACAATTTCAGAAAGATCCATACACTTACACACAAGTTATTGTCCTGAAACTAGAAAAATGCTTGTTTTTTGCCCCTTTTTGGCCCCTAAATCCTAAAATATTGAGGCAATTACCCCCATCATCAATCCCAGCCTTCCCTTTGTGGTATGGTACCTTGCAGTACAATTTCAGAGAGATCCATACACTTGAACATTAGTTATTGTCTGGAAACTAGAAAAATGCTTATTTTTGGCCCCTTTTTGGCCCCCAATTCCTAAACGTTTCGGCAACTACCCCCAAACTCAATTCCAGCTTTCCCTTTGTGATATGGAACCTTGTAGTACAATTTCAGAAAGATCCATATACTTACACACAAGTTATTGTCATGAAACTAGAAAAATGCTTGTTTTTTGGCCCCTAATTCCTAAAATTTTGAGGCAATTACCCCCAAAATCAATCCCAGCAATCCTTTTGTGATATGGAACCTTGTGGTACAATGTCAGAGAGATCCATACACTAACACACAAGTTATGTCTGGAAGTTACAAAAATGCTTATTTTTGGCCCCTTTTTGGCGCCTAATTCCTTTACTGTTGGTACCATGACCCCCAAAATCAATCCCAACCTTCCTTTTGTGGTATTGAACTTTGTGGTAAAATTTCATAGAGATCCATTCACTTAAACTAAAGTTAGAGTGCGAAAACCAATGTGTCTTCGGACGATGCCAGACGACGACGACGACGCCAACGTCATACCAATATACGACCACAAAATTTTTTTTTTGCGGTCGTATAAAAATGAAGAGACTGACAAATCTATGGTAAAAGTAATATATGTTAGACAATAACTTTCTTAGAAATCATGATCACAACCAAATGTTTAAATCATAATTTTTCAAACACTTTTCAGAAATTAAATGCAAAATATTATGTGTTTCCTCAAGAAACACTTCACATCAAATTTAAGTGAATTACTTCAATTCACTCTTGAACCAACCATACATTCATTCATTAAACAATGTGAAACACATCTATACCAGGTCATTCATCATACAATCATATCTATGTTCTACAAAAAATACACATGTATCTTTCAGACACATACCCGAACATTCCATTAAATATATTCCTCTATTGAAATAAATATAGCAATTACATAAATAACCAATCTACTTTTATATCACTAAAATCTGACGCCTGTAACCAATCAATAAAAAATTTCAAAATTATTTGTGCCTCAAAGGTGCTCTTCATTTAAAAATACAGTTACCTGCGTAGGACTTTTTTGCATGGAAATCATGATATTTAATATTGAATATCATATTACTGATTTCTTTTCAATATGCTAACAATGATAACTAAATGCATTTCATATTACTTTTGTAGGTTTAAATAAGTGCTGACCTAGCCATTTCTTTATAAGTAGAAATTTTTTTTCAAAAATCACAAACCATTTTCACTCCGAAATTTTAAGTAATTCTTTATTGGTTCAACAATTGAGCTACACCTTTCATCAAATTGCTTTGGAAAAAAATGATTTTTCTATTTAAAAGTTGACGAATGAATGATTGAATTTTTGTTTGTATTTAAAGCCACTTTCAACACATTTGTCTCTATAGTGGTTGCCAATTTTTGTTGGTATTTAAAGCCACTTTCAACATTCTTGTCTCTATAATGGTGGCCAATTTTTCTTGGTATTTAAAGCCACTTTCAACACTCTTGTCTATAAAGTGGTGGCCAATTTTTCTTGGTATTTAAAGCCACTTTCAACACTCTAGTCTGTATAGTGGTAGCCGATTTTTATCGGTGGAGGGAGCCAGTCACCGGAGAAAACTACCAACCTTCAGCAGGAAAACTGGCAATGGTAGTCAATTAAGATTGGAATTGAACTGTCAGAGCACCATTTGAACTTACAACCTCAGTGTTGAAAGGCTAGTGATATTGTAGATGAATTCCTTAGACTACAAAGCCCCTGAAAGTCCAGAAATTTTTAAACTTAAGTAGACTTTTTGTATTGATATACATGTATCTGAAAATTGTAAGTTCCAACTACATTTGTAATGACATCATTTTGCTTTACTATAATTTTTTATTTTCGTAGTTCAAAGTAGTCAAACAATAACAACAGTATACAACAATAACTCATAGGTCAGAAAGTCTGTACAGATATTTTAACTACAAACTAGAAAATATTGGTTTCAGTAATGTACTGCACACACAACATACATGATATCAGGAACATACGAGATATGAGTATCACAGCTTCCACAATTAAATGATAAATATTTACAGTCAATGGGAAATTCATATTTCTTACCTATCACCTTTCGCATTAAAATGAGTTCTGGTTAATATTGGTAAATGCAAATACAAAAAACAAAATGTAATCCTACACAATTGATTTTTACTTTTTGGTATATGCATTAATTAAAAGAATCCATTAAATTATGAATTTATCATATTATACATCTCAAATCTGATTCATTCTCTTTTGTAACAATGAAATAATAACTCCTCATAAAAATTAAATCTCTGTAATACCACAGATTACAGATTAACAGCTTCTTCAAAGAATATATTAATATAGTATTACAAATTTAAAACAAATGAACACAAGATGAAAGGCATTAGGACAACAAATTTGATTATACATCTTATCCAAATCAACCTAATTTGTTTGTAAATACATTTCATGTAAGTTTCATTGGAATCCGTAATTTTGATAGGCCGACAAAAATCGCAAGGCATTCCAAAATTAAACTTTATATTGCAATAAAAGGTAACATTTATGACTGCACTTGCTTTCCATGGCAATGTCACAGCAATGCATAGGAACACAAAAGAAAAGATTACTGTAAATTCAGAAATTATTGCGAGGTTTTTATTAATGCAAATAGTGCGACTGGGTGACGCAATAATAAGAACTTGCATTTTGATAACTGAAAAAAAGATCTTTATGCAGATTTTTTTGAAATCGCAAGAATTAAACTCGCATTTTTGTCCATTAGTGAAAAATCGCAAAAATAAGTGAACGCAATAATTTCTGAATTTACAGTATATAACTCATTATTTCATGGTTGTAGCATAAAATATAAGTAAAAGAATTGAATGCTTCTTTTTTTATCTTTCATTCATATTTTCAAAAATAAGTTATCCTAGCTTATGTAATGAATTGAAATAAGAGTAGATTGAGGTAAAACTTTAATTTGATAAAAAAAAAAAACGAACATACAAATACAAATTGTGTAGTCAATACCTAGTACCGTACTTTATAGCAAAATGTGTTATATCCTGCATAATGAGTTAGCATTTCCCCCTACATATGGATCTGGATTAGAAGACATTGGTGCCTAGGTTTACTCTAGTTTTTAAAGGGCATTAAGCAGAATTTCTAAGTTTTGATGATTCTCCCTTTATTAGTGGTTTGACACAAAGGAAACGAGTGTGTGTGCCCTGATCTGCAAAAGATTAATTGTCCAATCAAATGTCTAAATAAAATTGTCCTATCATGCATGATAATGCAAATCTGAAGGTTTTCAATGTTAACTGGCCGCAGTATGAAAGTGGTATATAGTCTCTGATGTTACATGATGAAGATTTTCTAAAATGTTTTAGTTTCTAAAACAATCATAGCTTACAATTTATATTTGGACAGTAATTCTGATTTTTATGAAATTATGTAAGCATTTAGAACTTGTATAGGTGCATCTGAATATAATTTTTTTTATACATGTAGCATTTATAATTTCCAAGGTAGAATCATTTCAAAATTTGTGAAACAGATCTATAACAGTATGGAATGTATGGAATGTAAAAAAGTGTAATATTTATGCATTTCTTCACTGTAAAGAACTTGTTAAAAAAAATTAAATGCTATTTCTGGAAATATTTCCATTTTAACAATTTGAAAACAAAAGGGGTCATTGTATTAATTTTTACTCTCTTACTCATTGAGGTTTTGAGTGATGTATAAATATCAGAAACTATGATTTTGCAGTGTTATGCTGCACTACATTACGCTAAATCTATTTGTCAAGACGCTACTTATACTCTACATATTGAAACTAATTGATTTCTGCTGAAAAAATGGATCTGATAACCCGATATAAATTTCATTTCATTAAAACAGAAATGCTCATAGCAATTACATATCATTATTTTTTATGGACTGGTTTTTGAGAAATGTCAATTTAAACAATTTTCTATACATTTATCGTGTTTATCTATTTCACAAATTTTTAATTGATTTTGTCTCTTGAAGAATAAATACTACACATATGTATAGTTTTGTAATTATTCATATGCAGTTCAAGAAGTTTAAAATGCATACAAATTTTATAAAAATTTTAAATACCGCCTTAAAAATACATATAGGCCTATCTGATTATCAAACCCCTTTGTAAGCACAGTCTGTACCAAACTGTTTTAGGGTTTGTCTGACCAAAAAGGAATTTTGACGTTTTCTACTATATTTTTAACTAAATAAAATGCTCCGCAGGGCGCAGCTTGATACGACCGCAGAGGTCGAACCCTGAACAGTTAGGGCAAGTATGGACACAACATTCAAGCTTGATACAGCTCTGAATTTGGATTGTGATTAAATATTTGACACAGCATAGGTTTCTGACACAGAATGAATGTGGTCTAAGAACTTAAAAATTTTAAATTGGACATTCACCTATTATGGTCCAATATCCAAAATCTAAATACATGGTTAGATTCAGCATATCAAAGAACCCCAAGAATTCAATTTTTGATGAAATCAAACAAACTTTAATTTTGGACCCTTTTGATCTCAATGTGGACAAAGTTGATAACGGGGCCCAAAAATCAAAAATCTAAATACATGGTTAGATTCAGCATATCAAAGAACCCCATATATTCAATTTTTGTTGAAATCAAATAAAGTTTAATTTTGGACCCCGATTTGGACCAACTTGAAAACTGGGCCCATAATCAAAAATCTAAACACATGTTTAGATTCAGCATATCAAAGAACCCTAAAAATTCAATTTTTGTTAAAATCAAACTAAGTTTAATTTTGGACCCTTTGGACCTTTATGAAGACCAATTTGAAAATGGAACCAAAAATTAAGAATCTAAATACACGGTTAGATTCGGCATATTAAAGAACCCCAATAATTCAATTTTTGATGAAATCAAACAAAGTTAAATTTTGGACCCTTTGGACCTCAATGTGGACCAATTTAAAAACAGGGCCCAAAATCCAAAAACTTAATACATGGTTAGATTCAGCATATTAAAGAACCCCAAGAATTCAAGAATAAAACCCCATTGAAATTGATCAAGAAATAAGCAATTTATACGAAGTATATTCTTTTGCACAATACTGTGCAATTGAATATTTCTTGCTATTGCGCAATACTGTACAATTGACAATTTCTTGCTATTGCGCAATATTGTGCTATTGGATATTTCTTGCTATTGCGCAATACTGTGCAATTGAAGATTTCTTGCTATTGCGCAATACTGTGCAATTGAAGATTTCTTGCTATTGTGCAATACTGTGCAATTGAAAATTTCTTGCTATTGCACAATACTTATTGTATAATAATTTACACATCCTGTTTGGTGTGTATTTCCTACCATATCATTATTATTTGCTTTTAAATATAAATCAGAAATAACCAACTTAAAATGGAAAATTTTAAAAGAAAAAAAAAAGGAAAAAAAGAAAAAAAAAAGAACCCCCCCCCCCCCCCCCCCCAATTTTTTGAACCCCCTTATGATTCATCACCCCCAAACTCAATCCCAGCCTTCCCTTTGTGGTATGGTATCTTGCAGTACAATTTCAGAGAGATTCATACAATTGAACACAATTAGTTATTGTCTGGAAACTAGAAAAATGCTTATTTTTGGCCCCTTTTTGGCCCCCAATTCCTAAACGTTTCGGGCAATTACCCCCAAACTCAATTCCAGCTTTCCCTTTGTGATATGGAACCTTGTAGTACAATTTAAGAAATATCCAAACACTTACACACAAGTTATTGTCATGAAACTAGAAAAATGCTTGTTTTTTGCCCCTTTTTTGGCCCCTTATCTTAAAATTTTGAGGCAATTACCCCCAAAATCAATTACAGCCTTCCCTTTGTGATATGGAACCTTGTGGTACAATGTCAGAGAGATCCATACACTTACACAAGTTATTGTCTGGAAGTTACAAAAATGCTTATTTTTGGCCCCTTTTTGGCCCCTAATTCCTTAACTGTTGGTACCATAACCCCCAAAATCAATCCCAACCTTCCTTTCATGGTATTGAACCTTATGGTAAAATTTCATGGAGATCCATTAACTTAAACTAAAGTTAGAGTGCGAAAACTAATGTGTCTTCGGACGACGCCGGACGACGACGACGACGACGACGACGACGACGCCGACGACGACGCCAACGTCATACCAATATACGACCAAAAAATTTTCAATTTTTGCGGTCGTATAAAAATCTAAAAAATTCTGTCGGACCGAATGATTTTTGTCTGTCATTTTGTCGGTCAGACAGAGTTTGGGAGACACTGTAAGCAGCAAGTTTGTAATCTGGTATTTCACTTTTTTTTAACTTAAACATATCAGCTTAAGAGCACCAATTAAGAAAAGATCTACTTTCATCAGTATTATGCTACCATCTTTGGCAAACACACAGGCATATAATGCTGATTTCAATTATAAAGAAAAAATATTTTTAGGTCTATCATATACTGCTAATACTAAATTAATTATTACAAAATCTATTAGATATAATACAATCCTCAACATCAAATTGGGTATTTTAAGCAAAAAGTTTGATAAGCTGCATGTTCTCAAATCCAATAAAAACTATACAACAAATTCTTACCAAAAAATTACAACTTTTATGATATAAAAAAATCAGATATTTTACCATGCAATATTCACATAAATACAATGTACTTTGATCATCAATTTATTCAAATGTGAATAGGGAATAAAAAAAACTAATCCTAATTTTCTCCTTATTAATTCTCCATCCTTTTTATTAAAGAAGTTTAAAAATCAAGAAAAGCAATATTCTATGAATTCTCAAGCAAAAACAGATTTATTACAGTATGCAAAGCAATTGGTCAGGAGATTTTATTACAGTATACAAAGCAATTGGTCAGGAGTTTTTTAATTAAAATTGACCTTATAACCCTACAATGGACAAACAGCTCTAAATATCATTTTCATAAGACTAGAAATCAATGACTATTCACCCATTGCACAAATAACTTTTCATTTCCATGTGATTTTTATCTACAGTACCATGTTTACGGGTCAATACAATGACTTCTGTTTGTTTTTTTCAGTTTGAATCAACTCTTTTTTAATTTGTTAATATTAAATACAGGTATATGGCAGTATAGCAGTTCATGTAAGTCTAATCCTGATATGTTCGGGAAAAGCATCCTTAGACAGATAACATTATCTGGCCACTTAACATAAAAAGACCATACACAAGACATCATCAGCACTTTAAAATTATACACCCTTATAATGTATTAAACCTTAAAGATGTATCAGTTTTGTTGGTAATATAATCAATACACAATTTGGTGGTTCTCTTAAAAACATGATAATGCTATGATGACTGCAACCTCGGAGGTGGGAGTTGAATTAACCTTCTTGAGTCATAGTTCACCAACCTCTGACCTACCAGATATCTGAAAAAAAAATATCAAAATTATTAATTCATACTGAGTCATCTTGTTTCATCAATTAATGGGTCATTTGCTGATATCTGAATAAAATTTACTGTACTTAAAGCTAAAAATATAGAATCATATCATTTTACATGAAAATAAAATTACAACAACAGCATAAAATTATACATGGTGTAAATAAAATAGAACAAGTTTTAAATGAAAGACAGAATTCCAATGTCCCCTGCATTGCACATATTTTATTTGTCCAAGGGCAATAACTAAAAAAAACTTTTTTTCAGTTCTTTAAATTTTTTTATAAAAGAGAAATGAAGGCTTGAGAGCAACTGCAATGCTATTTCTGATATAATTAATATCCCCAAGGGGCATACCTTTAAAACCATATAAATTTGATAAAAATTTGGCAAAAATTGCAAACTTGAGAGTGCTTACAATGCAATTTTCCATATAATTAATATTTCCAAGGGGCATAACTCTTTAAATTTTTTTAATCTGCACTAATTTTCGAAATAGTCCAAGACATTGCTGACATAAACCTTTGTTATAAGTTTGATAAAAATCTCGCAAAAATTGTATACCCGAGAACAGAACGCTTACAATGCAATTTTCCATATAATTAATATTTCAAATGGGCATAACTCTTTAAAAAATAATTGATCAGCACCGATTTCGAACTTGTTCGAGAAATTTCTGGTATTTACCTGTGATACAAGTTTCATAAAAATCTGCCAAGAATTGTACACATGAGATTGCTAACAATACAATTTTTCATTTAATAAATATTTCCAAGGAGCATAACTCTTTTAAAAATTCTTGATCCATACTGATTTTCTAACTTGTCCAAGATAATGCTGATATAAACCTGCGATATAAGTTTTATTTAAATCTGGCAAGAATTGTTCACGTAAGAGCTCCAACAAAACCAGAATCAACTGATGGACAAACGCCCGATATTTCTATGTTTCCTTGCAGGTAAGCCATATTGTGATATTGTCATGTCTATGTTAGCAGCTGTTTGTGAAAGATTTTAATTATCTTCTGTGTCTCCATTTTGCTTTAAACTGTTATTGGTTATATTAATTTGATCATTAACTTGCTTTTATGTCAAATATTTATTTTTATAATCTAACAGAGACTTGACATTAACTGATAAAGCACTTTCTAAGAATTGTTTTGATTTTTGATTTTTTTAGTTTGACATTCCCATTTAGACCTCATGTTTTTGCATTAAAACAGCAGCCATATTGGTTGATTCACATAATAGTCTTGACTAAATGGTTGTAAAAATAGATTTTCAGACAACCCTGTATGATAATTAATGGCTCACTCAAATTACTATGCACTATAAATACAATTTCTGTCCTGCCATAATATTTTCAAAACTGGTTGATAGAAGTCAAGTTTAGTTTATGCAGTCTTTTTTTTTGTGTATGTTTAAAATATGCCTTTCAAAAAAAAAAATCTGTACAGTTGTACTTACTTATCATTCTTTATATGTTCATACAATCTCCTGAACTGTCTAGCCTGGAATACTCCAAATAACACAATAATTAAACAGGCCAAGAGGCATGGGTAAATTCGTCTTAATACTAGAACCTGTGCTTCAAAACCAAAACCTGTAAGAAATACAAATAGCTGATTTGAAATCTTCAGTTAAAATACACAATTTTGTACAAACATTCTTTTACATTTACTTCTTATATGATTTTTTCAAAGGTTATGACGGAAATCCAAAGTTAGTATTTTCATTTAGATTTTGCTTTGACATTCTGGTCCATTTGGCAGTCACATGATTCCTTAAATTCCCTTCTTTCACTTCTTTATAGATGGTTACTTGTTCTCATGACTGTCATGTTTCATGAAACAATCACCCACATCTCCCTTTTTCACATCAAAATAATTAACTTTTTTTCAAGTAGAAGTGTATTTTTTCTCCATATTTAACACTGATAAAGAATAAGGGCTATTCCATTAAAATGTATGTGGGAGGGTAGGAAGGGAAGTTTAATTATTGAATGTGGGTCATGGGTCTTTTTTCAGTATGTGTCTATTACCATTATGCAAAATTATCTAAAAAAACGGCTCTTGGTTGTAGGGATATTTTGAAAGTCCCTTCCTACCCTCCCACATACATTTTAATGGAATAGCCCTAATGAAAAAAATAAAAACACCTCACCTAAAAATGGTACAATACTATTAGCAACTACATAAGGGGCAGCTAAGGACATGCCCAGAACACCTATCACAGGAGCACACAGTTTTGTAATGATGAATCTCAGGTTGATGTTCCGTATTCCGTCATTATATATCTGAAACATAAACATTTATTTTAATCAAATTTGGAATTTTAGTTCTTTAATTCACAATTAGGGACTTGGACTATTACCATATTCTTCAACATTAAAACTTTCAGTGAAAATGAAATTTCAATACTTCACTTTGCTTCCAAACAGTAATGCAAAAAAGCTTTACTATTTATATACTAAGTGACATCAATTAACAATTTAAATGTGACAATTTGAGTTTTAGTGGCAACAATGACAAATCACAGAAATTTTACTTCTGACAATTTAAATGTGAATATTTTTAAAATCTTTGAATACTTTTTCCATATTTTCTTGTCTTTTATATAAAAAATGAACATAGGTATCTAAATGGTTATTTGAAATAATGTCACAGTTTACTTGAAATACCATTATAATATGAAACAGATCTTAAAAGTATAACATGGAGGTCCGTAATTTGAACAAAAGCCATTTCATACCCTTTTCAACATAGCTTTCTACCACATAACTATACATATGCAATTGAATGAATCTTAAAGAAGTGATAAAGATATTAACCAATCATTTGGATTTTTTTATATGAAAAAAATGGGGAATGTGTCCATGGGACACAGATGATGCTCCCGCTTGCTTATAATAAAAAGTTATAAAGAGACATAACTGAAGAAGGGTAAAAGTGACACTACCCAAATTTGTACTTGATCTGAGTTTTGTGGTAATAAGCATTGTGAATAAGTTTCATAACGTTTGGTTGAGGCAAACTAAAGTTACAGAGCAGAAACGAAAAATTATGCAATTTTTTATGTTTATAAAGGGGCATAACTCAAGAACGGTAAAAGTGACAACACCCAATTTCAAACTTGATCTGTATTATGTGGTAATAAGCATTGTGTATAAGTTTCATAACATTTGGTTGAGGCAAACTAAAGTTGGAGAACAGAAATGAAAAATTATGCAATTTTTATGTTTATAAAGGAGCATAACTCAAGAACGGTAAAAGTGATGCCACCCAATTTCGAACTAGATCTGTATTATGTGGTAATAAGCATTGTATATAAGTTTCATAACATTTGGTTGAGGCAAACTAAAGTTAGAGAATGGAAACCAACTTTGGGATGTACGGACGGATGGACGTACAGACGGACAAGGGTAAAACTTAATGCCCCCTCCGCTACGGCGGGGGCATAAAAATACTATACCTGTTCTATGACTCGTTTTAACCACCACTGTGGTCCCATCATGGTTATTGCACAAACTATCTTGGCATGGAGAACTCCTAGAGCCCAATCCTGAGTGGAAAAATTATAAATATTAGTTTATTATAAATTGATTTTCAATTATGAGTTTATGAGTGTTTTCTCATCACTAAAAAATAAACAGAGCATGAACTTATAATTATGCTTGTATATCCCTGAATTTTAATTATTATCTGGCAATTAATTGTGTTTTTTTCTTAATTGGTAATGTCAATTATTTACCCAATTACAGCAAAATGCATTGAGTGTGTAGGTAAAGGTAATATGTTTGGTTAGCTTACTTGCTAGCTGAACCATGAAGTCATTATTAAGTTAGGTATACTACCCTCCTTTAAGAGTAGACTAGTCCGACAGATAACCGATCTATCTGTCTGTAGGACTAGACTACTCCGAAAGGAGGGTAGTATACCTTACCTAATAATGACTTCATGGTTCAGCTAGCAAGCAAGCTAGTCAAAGATATTACCTTTACCTACACGCTCAATTCATTTTGCTGTGAATATTGAGTTTTTAAATTATTGTTCTAAAATAAATAAAGAAATAAATATGTCTTTTTTTGTTTTATGAAAATGACAATCCCATCAATATGAAAATCAGCATATCATTTTTAAACAATAATTGTCACTCAAATCATGGGCATAAACAGTGAATAATAATTACCTAGTATCACTACTTTAGATTGGCAATCTTGTCTTCAACCTATTTGACAAGATTGAAAACAGCAATAAAAGAATCAATCACTAAAAACTACTAAACAGAAAACTGTGTGAAGAGGTGTAAGGTTCAATAAACTTACCTGCCAGGGAAAGAAAATTGGAGATTGGTCAAGAGGTACTCTGAGGGGAGCTACAATGACTAATTCAAACAGCAGTCCCAGGAGTAAAGGTACAAATCCTATCAGTAAAGCTGCTACTATAAAACATTTCATGGCCTGAAAAATAAAGAAAATAATAATAAGCAAAACACACCTTTCATACATATTAAGAATCTTCATTTTAGTACTATAATATTTTATGCAGCTAATATTGATAAATTGCTTTGGCAATCTGATGAGGGATCAAATTGTCAAAGAAAAAGACATCCTACAGCATATGGCAAGTTCTGTTTTGTTGATTGATTGATTGGTTGTTGGTGTTTAACACCACTTTCAGCACACTTGGTTCTATCATGATGGACAGTTTTTATTGATGGAGGAAGCTGGAGACTTTATTGTTAAAAGCAATATTACTCATAATGTATATTCTAGGATGCAGCATTCTTTGAACACAACTTCAAACAGAATTTTGTGCTTATTCCATGTGAATTATACTTTTCATATTTTGTTATTCAATAAAATAGAGTTATCCTTCAAGAAAAGCAGCCATAATGTTACAAATTGGTTTGTAAGTTTAGAAGAAATAAATGTGGATAGTGTCCACATGTGGACACAGATGATGCCCCCGCTTGCATATCATATAGTTATAAAGGGACATAACTGAAGAACGGTAAAATTGACGCTACCCAAATTTGAACTTGATCTGAGTTTTGTGGTAATAAGCATTGTGTGTAAGTCTCATAACATTTGGTTGAGGCAACCTTAAGTAGAGAACAGAAACTAAAAATTCAGCAATTTTTCTATTTGTAAACACGCATAACTCTAGAACAGTTGGGTATAAGTTTTATAACATTTGGTTGAGACAGACTAAAGTTAGAGAAATGAAACGAAAAATTCAGCAATTTTTATGTTTATAAAGGGATATAACTCAAGAATGGTAAAAGTGACACCAACAAATTTCGTACTTAATCTGTATTATGTAGTAATAAGCATTGTGTATAAGTTTCATAACATTTAGTTGAGGCAAACTAAAAGTTAGAAAACGGAAACAAAAAATTTGTACTTGATCTTAGTTTTGTGGTAATGAATATTTTGTATAGGTTTCATAATGTTTGGTTGGGTCAAACTTAAGTTACAGAATGGAAACTAATAATTTTGCAATCTTTCCATTTTTAATGGGGTGGTTAAAGTGACACTACCCAAATTCTACTTGATCTGTGTTTTATCAGTGGAAGTCAAAATTAAACATTGCATTGTATAAAGCATTGATTGTAGTTGATTCAACTATAATCATGGACAAAGGAAGATAACTCCAATTTTAAAAATAACTTGATCTTGAGAAGAAAATAAAAATTTTGCAATTTTTCCATTTCTAAAGGGGCATAACTCTAGATCAGTTAAAGTGACGCCACCAAAATTCAAACTTGATCTGTGTTTTGTGGTAATAATTATAAGCACTGTGTAAAAGTTTCATAACATTTGGTTGAGGCAAACTAAAGTTAGAGAACGGAAACGAAAAATTCAGCAATTTTTCCATTTGTAAAGGGGCATAACTCTAGAACGGTGAAAGTGACGCCACCAAAATTCACACTTGATCTGTGTTTTGTGGTAATAAGCATTGTGTATAAGTTTCATATCATTTAGTTGAGGCAAACTAAAGTTAGAGAACGGAAACGATAAATTCAGCAATTTTCCATTTGTAAAGGGGCATAACTCTCAAACGGTGAAAGTGACGCCACCAAAATTCACACTTGATCTGTGTTTTGTGGTAATAAGCATTGTGTATAAGTTTCATATCATTTAGTTGAGGCAAACTATAGTTAGAGAACGGAAACCAATTTTGGGTATGTTCGTACGTACGTACAGACGGACAAGGGTAAAACTTAATGCCCCCTCCGCTACGGCGGGGGCATAAAAAAATATTTAAAATAAGCTACAAGTATCATGCACATAATTCACAAAGAGATGAACCCTCCATGGCAAAATAAAATTGAAGTACACTGAGAATTTGAAGACAATTAATTTTCATGCACATCTTCATACAGCTGACAAAGTTTATAAAAATCTAATGAAATCTATCAAAAAGAGAAAATCGATGGTATAAAACTAGCACTGAGGTATAAATACTAATATATGAAAACTTACAAGAAGGAACCATTCTTTGACTTTATTCAGTATGGCTGCTGTTCCCTGGGGTATCCAGTTGTACATGACAGTACCGATACGTAGGAACATCCAACAGATATACAGTCCACAAGCTGCTGTATATAACTCGTGGACTTTAGCCTCTCCCATCCACAGGGCCATCAACTGACGACCACACCATACTTAAATACAATGAAATACAGATTTCAGTTAAAGAAAAACTGATAGACGGACACTTGTTTATCTGATTTTTAAAGGACATTTTTTATTTACAGTAACATAATTATACATATAATCTGGTTTAAAGTACTCCTCATATCCCCAAACTAAAACATTTCAGCAAAGTTTGCTTTAAAAATCAATGTATTTTATGAGGTCAAAGTCTCTATTACTCTCTTACTCTTATACCATAATAAGTTAGAACAGTCATCATATCAATCACTTACCACATATCTGACAAAGGCATCTTTTTAGAATTACTCTTCTTGTTTCCAAACAGCCAAGTTATTCATATTCATATTTCAACATTTACATTTCTCACCTTGTCAGAAGAGGCTTGTATGATTTTTAATAACAACTTACCAGGTAAAACCAAAGACAAAAGACTACAGAAGAATAAGGTAAAGCACATCAGTAACACCAACAGAACAATCTGAAAGAAAAAAAAATATACAAGGTCACAACAACCTACTAAAATATCATATTTGCTTTCATCAGTAAAGTCACAACTATTTTGTAAAGTCACTCTGAACTTTTGATAAGAAGCATATAGAATACTACATACCACATCTCCAAATATACAGTAATGATAATATTGCTGTAAAATGTCATATGAATATTAAATTTTAGTGGTTCTGATTTTAGCACGATTTGCCAGAAGTTTTTATAAGTTTAAGAAAATAACTTACAAATTGTCATGTTTTTATATTACAGCTACCAATTTGTTGCAAAAACCTTTATTATTAATTAAATCTAACAAGTACTACTCTAGATCTTATTCTTTCACATACTCTAAAATGAAATATTGATGGTCTTTTATAGGCCTGGAATCCTGTTGGACCACCTCCCTGGAGCATAGCCTGGTGAGCAGCTCCTAATCCTCCTGGCTGAGGCTGTGGGAGGTTGGCTGGTGCTGGGTGCTGTACAGGCTGGTCACCCTCTACCACATTGTCCTAAAAAAATTTGTACAGATCTATTAAAATATATGTCTAAATGACTGGTCAGCCTCTACCACATTGTCCTAAAAAACATTGTACAGATCTAATAAAATACATATCTAAGTGAATAAATGAGACAGTCTGGAATCTTGTTACATGTATATAGTTTCACATGTTAATTCTCTATCATTGCCCTATAGTATTCTCAGGTTGAATCTGAATTATTCGACACTCGTCCACAAGCAAGCAGGTGTCTTTATGATTTATGGTTAGAGTACACAAGAGGACTTATAGTTTGTCACTTACACGATTGAATAAACGATCATTTGTACTCTTATTTCCAAACAACCGAAAAAAACAATTGTAGTAAACAGTTACTGTTTGTATGAGTGTGTGAAAAAAACTTTTAATTTACTGTACTTTTCAAAATTTGTAAATGTCATCCCTAATGGAGGATGAAGACTCAAGAGATGGGCACAGAGTTGATATTCTAGATTTTTTGGATAAATTCCTATTCATCACTGAAGCCTTTGGGCTTGGACGTTTGGATAATATTACATTTCTTATCGCACCTCTGTTAAATTAGTGATGTTGTGATTGGTTTAATGATGTCACATGGTGATCCCTTATGAATGTGTAGGGGGTCAGTAGATTTCATATGGGTATCATGATGTCAAGTCTACTATTAATGGTGACGTTATCTATTAATGTAATTGTATTTCATTGCTTATTTTTATAAATAAACTTGGCAGGAAAAGTCCTGTGTGCAATAAATTCATTATATGTTTCACAACTGACCTCCTACGGATCTATAGAGGGTCAGTAGAAAACCATAGAACTTGTATATAATAGTTGGTTAATTTTGAATTTTGTGAAGTAGATTACATTTTTTTTTCTATAAAAAAGGTGAAAATACATGAATGAATATATACTTTTAAAATATAGCTTTAATTTTTCAACTTTTGCACAAAACATATCTGTAAATGAGAATAGAAACAGGACACAATAAGAAATTTGTGCATAAATATGTATCACTTAGTAATTTAATTAAATTGGATTACCAATCTAATATATGAAATCTTAGATATCTGATTCAATACTTTTTCATTAATCTTTGGATTCAAAAAGAGGCTTCAGGCACTTAATTAAATACTTACAGAACTGTTTATTGGTACATCTCCGAGGAGGTATGATCTAAGGCCAAGAATATAAGCCATGCCCAGTGTCCATCCTCTGACCATACCCTTCAACCACATCCTTGTGTGTCCTTGTTCCAGTAGTGCTGGCAATACCACTTGTAGTAACAATAATTCTAAAGATAGCTCACTAACTGGAGCATCACTGAAAAATACATAAATTAATAAAATCATCAATTTTGCTGAAAATGTTGGGACTCGTTTTCTTTCAGCCTCCTCTCTTCTGAACTGGAAATACACTTTTTTAAAAATTAACTATGGTATTTTTTTTTTAAATTGGAGAAATACCAATGTGCAATCAACCTCATTATTCCAAGAAAATCATGAGTCAAAAGACAAACAATATTCCACTACACAGAAAAATAAGGATTGAGCAACATGGGCCCCATAAAATAGTGCTATTAACACGGTCAACTGTTCCTGCTCAACTAGCAACACCCCTCATGTAACTCCTGCTAAAATCTATTGATGAAACATATTCGGTAAGAAGGCACTACGCAATAGCAGATTGGTACAGATATCTTGTCTAACCTTACACATAGATAAATCATTGGTACATGTAAATTCTCTAACCCTAATATATGACTGAATATGAAAGTTTGAAATGGAAAAGTTTTTCTGGACACAGGATGAACCATTGTGTTGCTCATAAGTCTAAAGAGAAGGTTTTTGCTACTTGCTTTCTTTTTTTACAAACATTTCACAAATGGAAAAAGACATTTTTTCCTTTTTGATAAGGATGAGAATATGTTTCTTTTTATGATGTCTTTCAAACATGATCATTTTCTGAGATATATAATATTATACAAATATAACAAAATCTAATGACTGACCTTTAAACCAATAAAAACAAAATATAAACAGGATTCATAAAATTTGTTAATTTATATTTTTAAATTCACTTAATGTATGTTTATTTCTGACAATTTCATGAAATATTTACATACTTATTCTATTTTTACTTTGTTGTATGTTCTTCATTAAAACACTTACTGTGAATTAAGAAATTTTAGCAATGTTTTAATAATGCAAAAAAATGCAACGATACATTTGGCAAAAATTAAAAAAATGCATTTAAATTTTAATTGATAGCATTATTTGTATGCAGCATTTCCTGAAATCACACTACCGTTAATCTATCTTGCATTTTTGTTTGTTGTTCAACATTTGCAATAAAAGGTGCATGCAAAATTTTTTGAATTTACAGTAATTAGCAATAAACAAATTGAAACATTAGAATAAGTTATCTAAAAAAACATTTGTTGCAATGTGAATCCAAGTATATTTTATTCTGTTAAAATCAAAATCATTTTATGGTACCATTCTTTATTTTATAACAGGTAGGCTTTGCATTACTGTACCACATATTTGCTTTTAGTAACCGCTATCATTTGTACAATTATCTCTTTAGAACAATTCACAATGTTTTAAATAAGCTGCATTGGATAGAAATCGATCTTATTCAAGTGCACGTATATATGTACATGCGTAAGATTTTGACTGATTTTGGAACACTCAAATACAAAATAAAAGATGAATTTAGGTCTGTTTTGTAGGGTTCTAATAACAACTTAATTTTCAAACAGTTACAGACTTTGCATAGAGATTTTTTTAACTTGAAATAGGTTAACATATGTATTGATATTCATTTGTAGATGGTTGATTTCTCTCTGATGGAACTCAAATGTAAAATGTAGTACTGAACATAAAACAAATGACCTGAATAAAAAATATCAATACCTAGATAACATGACATGATATGGCAAAAAACCAGTAAATATCTTCCTGACAACTCGAACTGGTAACCACAGCATCAGTAGTACTGTACTTCCAAATATGATCTGCAAATAAACAAGAATTACATTTGTGTTTAATTTGCTAAATATAAAAAAAGTTCTGAGATGGTAAGAAAAAGTGTGATAAATATTTAACTCTATTCATAATTTAAATTTTTTCTAAGAATACATCTAACAACAAGAAATGATTGTAACAGGATGCTGTTACGAAGTCTCCCAAACGAAGCTCCCATAATTAGTAATTCCCAGTGTCGCCTGACATTGGACAAAGTCCAGTGAAAATTGGTTTGGTCCAGTAAAGTATATGCATTAGTGATGCCTGGGGACTAACCCTGTATATCATTCAAATAATCTTGGCATGACAAACCAGAATATATATGGTTTAGGGGTGGGGATCTCGACCATTTACAAGATACAAGAACATTGGGGGTGGGGGGAACCCCTGGGGACTGACCCTATACATCATTCAAATGTTCGAGACACGACGAACAGGAATATATATGGTTAAGGGGTGGGGATCTCGACCATTTACAAGATATTAGAACATTGGGGGTGGGGGGAACCCCTGGGGACTGACCGTATATGTCATTCAAATGTTCGAGACATGATGAACAGGAATATATATGGTTTAGGGGTGGGGATCTTGACCATTTACAAGATATTAGAACTTTCTCAAATGGCAGGGGGTGGGGGTGACCCCTGGGGACTTACCCTGTATATCATTCAAACCATCTTGGTATGACAAACCAGAATATATATGGTTAAGGGGTGGGGATCTTGACCACTTACAAGATATTAGAACTTTCTTAAATGGCAGGGGGTGGGGGTGACCCCTGGGGACTAACCCTGTATTTCATTTGATGTGCTTTATCATGACAAACCAGAATATATATGGTTTAGGGGTGGGGATCTCGACGATTTATAAGATATTAGAACTTTCTTAAATGGCAGGGGGTGGGGGTGACTGGTGACTAACCCTGTATTTCATTTAATGTGCTTTATCATTTAGAACATTTTCAATTAAAAAGATTGTGTCTATCACAAACGGTTTTCAATTTATAATCATTTGAAAATTTAAAAAAATAAAATCCCATAGGGTTCTATAGTAAAACCCTCCTTTCTTTTTGCCCCTCAAAGTACCCCTTTATAAACCCCAATGCACAAACAAAACCCTGATTGCACCACTAGACATGTTAGTCTAGCATATTGTGAAACCCTAAGTTAATCTGACAAGCGGTTTCGGAGAACCGGTGCAGACAAGTTCAAATTTAAAAGTGGCGGAAGAAGAAGAAGAAGAAGAAGAAGAAGAAGAAGAAGAAGAAGAAGAAGAAGAAGAAGAAGAAGAAGAAGAATAAGAATAATAATAATAATAATAATAACTGAGCAAAACCAATAAGTCTTCCCAAACTTCGTTTGGGAGACTTAAATATAATTAAAACACTACCCACAAAACTCTTTTCTAGAAAAACGTAAGTAGCTAAAATATGTGTAAAATCTATTATTTAGTTTATCTTCATATGATTTAAGAAAAATTATAACTAATAACAAATGAGATCTATCAAAAGAGAAAAAATGAAGAATAAATACTTTCCGTACCACTGAAGCAGTAAATCTTCTGGCATGTCTGTAAACTGGAAGGTGAATCATCTGAAAAGGATAAATCATATTACTTAACTTCAATTCAATATACAAAAACAGACAAAAATAAAACATAACTTTTTTTCCACAGTATAGATTAAAGTTTTTAATTGCAATCTGGCCACCTATGGTATTATAAAACAATGAATATTTTTTTCTTCTTCTTTTGGGTGTTTGTGTTGTCCACCATTTTATCTCATTGTTATTTACCACTTTCTGTGATACTTGTCTTAAATTACTTTGAAAACATAGTAAGTCATTGTCTTCTGGATTACTGACCTGTAATATCCCTTCCAATGATATGTTAATACGATTTACAGTCATTCAGATGGATTAATACAAACTAAAAAATCTTTTACAAATTTTTTGAGACTGTTAAAAGAGAACAAAGTCCTCATTACAGTAACATAGAAAAATTAATACACTAATGTATCATAAATTGTTAATCTTCTGTTTTCTGTCTTTTGTCTTTTGTCTCTTGTCTTTCAGGTTTTTGTTTCATTCAATTTTTTTGTAAAACATCAGAAGTACAATTTTACCATATCAAATAATGACAATAAAATGTAATTTTGAAAAAGTGAGTTCTGCTGTTTCAAATACTGTGGATTCATTTATTTCTGTGGGTACCAATTTTCCTGGATTGAAGAAAAAAAAATGTTCATGGATATTTGATTTCTCAGTTTTTTTCCAAAGTCTACATACAAGCCTAGAGAAAATGTGTACTTCATTGAATACTAAAATTTGTGGTTCACCTTAACCCATGAAATCTACAAAAATTAGTTATTGTGATTTCAGGAAAATCTGCATACAGATATACATATAAGATATCAGAATGAGAGTTTATATCATTGCGATACTCACCCAGTCGCATTATTCGCATTAATAAAAACCTTGCAATAATTGCTGAATTGACAGTATAAACATTTTATTTTTTTGTGCCTGATGAATAATACTTCAGTCAAACTGTCAAAATAAAAAATAATATATTATTACAAGCCTTCTTAATATTACCTCTTGTATTGGGTTAAATTCTGGGTCATTCAAATTCCTCAGGAACCACAACACTCCTGGTCGGAGAACCTCTCTCAGTAACAAAATAAAGGATGCAAAGTAGAAAACATAAACCATTCCCACCAACCAATGGATAAACATGGAGGTTCCTGGTGCTAAGTGAAAACTATTCTTCCTGTCCTTCAGGGTAGCATCAAACATGGACTAAAAAGACATTTCAACTAAAACTTACTTCACTGTTATATCTGTACAATAATAATTTTTCTATATCAATACTAGAAGGAAAATGTGTAAGGCAGCAATGATTTTCAGATATCTTGTCTACCATTTACCTATTTATTTATATACGCATATAAAGATCAATGTTTAAATAATAAATAAAATAAGCTTCATTTCTGCAATCTTTCACATATGCTGAAACCAGTGCTAGTGGCTGTCTTAAACTAGCAATGAGGTGTTAGCTTTTGCTCTATGTTGAAGACAACTGTGACTTTGAGATGAAGAACTGCAATAAAAGCACTGCTCCTTTGCTTTACTTTTTTTTTCAACTGCATGTAGGGATTTTGTGTTGTGTGATTTATTGCACCAAATCCCTTTTGTCCCATTTCAATGTAATTTTATATAGTTTTTTTCAGACTGCTCTGCTACATACCAAAGAACATATATCCAGCCACCAACCACAGATAAGTGGGAAGACTCCAATCTCTATGACTACTAGTAACATCACTTTTACTACAATGTAACATAACCCTAGGACTCGTCTGAATCTATAAAATATAAACGTTGAATCTATGAATCTAACAAATCAAAAGGAATCAAATCTTTTCATACAAATTAACAACAATTCTAACATTCTGTTCCTGTTAAAATAGGAGTTTATTGAGGTATTACAAAAGACTATTTTGATCATACATTGTTTGTTGTTGTCTTTGTACGTTGCAATTGTCTTCTGAGTGTCAGGTGTTAGTGTGGTTCTGAGTGTCAGGTGTTAGTGTGGTTCTGAGTGTCAGGAGTTAGTGTGGTTCTGAGTGTCAGGTGTTAGTGTGGTTCTGAGTGTCAGGTGTTAGTGTGGTTCTGAGTGTCAGGTGTTAGTGTGGATCTGAGTGTCAGGTGTTAGTGTGGTTCTGAGTGTCGGGTGTTAGTGTGGTTCTGAGTGTCAGGTGTTAGTGTGGTTCTGTTGTACTGTCCAGTATTTTTGGTGATTCCTGTTGTACTTTTTATGTATTCATTTTAAAACAATTGAAATGATAAGATAATGTATTACTTAAGTCAATAACAAATCTCCTCATCACTGAAATTGCCTTCATCCAGTTGATATTAGTGGACTGGTAGTTTGACTGTCCATCAATTTATGTTGAACAATCATTCCACTACACTGAGAGACTACCTAAATATTTCATGTCTGCTAGAAATAATCTTGTGAACAAAGTTTCCAGAGGAAAGTTTTTGTGTTCTTTGATTGAAAATTACCGGAAGAATGTTTCTCAATCTTCAGATTTTTATGATTTTTTTAAAGACTATCTTTTTGTCTTTTTAATTTCTTAAAATAATTTTCAAGTTCTGAAAGTTAAAATTGTCAAACTTCACAACATAAAAAATGCTAGCTATTTGATTCTCTAAATTTTTCTGTAAATCAGTGGCAGAATTATTTTCTTCAATTTCTTTTTTTTTTCTAACTTGAAAAATATTCCATTAACATTGTTGTTATGACTTACTTTTTAAGCCTGGCAATGGCACATAACATGTATAAAACTACCAGAGAAAATGCTATAACAATATAGCCAATCATAGTGGTCAATAGTCCTTCATAATGTGTAGATTCCATCTGAAAGTTAAAAAAAGAAGGTTTGTTATCAATAATAATATGATTAACAGTCTTCGTCTGAAAAGAATACTGTTGTATTAAGCTAACTATTAGAATAAGATTATTGTATTTGCCAAAAGCATAGAGCTAAAAAAAAACAAGAGGCTCTCAAGAGCCTGAATCGCTAACCTGTATTTCAGAGGAGAAGATTTTTAAATGTTAGCAAACTTGATGAACAAATTGTGTAAAATTGTCTTTAAAGGGCAATAACTCCTTAAGGGGTCAATTGACAATTTTGGTCATATTAACTTTTTGTAGATCTTACTTTGCTGAACATTATTGCTGCTTACAGTTTATATATATCTATAATAATATTCAAAATAATAACAAAAAACTGCAAAATTTTGTTAAAACTACCAATTTGGTGGCAGCAACCAAACAATGGGTTGTTCGATTCGTCTGATAATTTCAGGGCTGATAGATCTTGACCAATTAAACAATTTTACTCCATGTCACATTTGCTCTAAAAGATTTAATTTTTGAGATATAAGCCAAAAACTGCATTTGACCCTTATGTTCTATTTTTAGCCATGGCGGCCATGTTTGTCGATGGATACAAACTTCGGATACAATTTATAAACAAGATACCCTAAGGAAAATTTAGTTAAAGTTTGAAGGTAATTGGCCCAGTAGTTTCAGAGGAGAAGATTTTTAAATGTTAGCAAACTTGATGAACAAACTGTGTAAAATTGTCTTAAAAGGGCAATAACTCCTTAAGGGGTCAATTGACAATTATGGTCATATTAACTTTTTTGTAGATCTTATTTTGCTGAACATTATTGCTGCTTACAGTTTATATATATCTATAATAATATTCAAAATAATAACAAAAAACTGTAAAATTTTGTTAAAACTACCAATACGGTGGCAGCAACCCAAACAATGGGTTGTTCGATTCGTCTGAAAATTTCAGAGCTGATAGATTTTGACCAATTGAACAATTTTACCCCATGTCAGATTTGCTCTAAAAGCTTTAGTTTTTGAGATATAAGCCAAAAACTGCATTTGACCCCTATGTTCTATTTTTAGCCATGGCGGCCATGTTTGTCGATGAATCAAAACTTCGGATACAATTTATAAACTAGATACCCTAAAGAACATTTGGTTAAAGTTTGAAGGTATTTGGCCCAGTAGTTTCAGAGGAGAAGATTTTTGAAATAGTTTACGACGACAGATGACGACAGACGACAGACAACGGACTCCAAGTGATGGCATAAGCTCACATGGGGCCCGAAGGGCCCCGGTAAGCTAAAAAAAAAAAGGGGGAGGTGCTTGCTCAAAGAAACTAAATTTCTACTGTAAATTCATAAATGTTTTCAATTTTTTTATTTTTGTGAAAATTGCAACGAGATAATTTCAGGAAAAATAATAACTCCCATTTTTTAATTTTTGACAGCTTTATATTTATATGCCGAAATTCCTGAAATTGCAATAACTATTATCCAGGGTTTAAGCTAGGATTTTGAGGGCTTTAGTCACTTTTGCACGGGATGAAAATCAACCTTATTTTGGTTAGCAGCAAGGGACCTAGGATGTGTATTACTATCTATACATCTTAGTCAGACTCTGGACTTGGGCATACTAGGCAGTTACTGCATGATTTGACTGATGTGGCACTTTAATACGAAGATTAGGATATAAGATCTAGAAATCTAGTTCACAATTTCACTTCAGTTAGTTTCAGGGTACATTCCTAATCAGCAAAAGTTGGGATCTATTTTTTTTAAAACCAGGAATCACAGCATAAATGTACTTGTAAGGACTATTTCACTGCATTATTCATACTCATTATCCTTAAAAATGTTTTAAAGCGATATTTAGAATTAATTCTATAAAGTTGGTACCAAGGATTTTTACAAATCCTTATTGGAACAATTCTAATGACTTTAAATTGTAAATTTATCATGAATAGATCACGTTTACTTTCGATTTTCAAATGAAATGAAAACTGGAAGTGACAAGTGGATAATAAATTCAGAAAGAATCCGGATTCATCTACGGATTGGTTCGTGTTTAAAAAAGGCAGGAAATTATCATTTTTTGAATTAAATTTGCTAAATATGATCTATATTTGTCTCTCTCGTTTAGTGTAATACTTAATTATTTCGTATTTAACGTTTTAGTGTCTTTAAATTCATAAGAATACTTTCCCGCATGCGCAGTTCATCGTAAAGGAAGCACCTGTTTGACTCGTGAAAACATTTCTGAATGTTATCAATAAAGTTCTATCTTTTTAATCTCAATTGTCGAAAGTTTTTGATTAAAAGTTTTATCAAATATGACGAAAATACGTTCATTCAACGAAACTACGACAAGCGAACTGCAAATTGTGATCGTTTGATAAATATTGAAATTAAAATGCGAACTGTCCGAGGGAAAACTCAATGACGAAACTACGACAAACAAACTGCAAATTGTGCTCGTTTGATAAATATTGAAATTGAAATGCCGACTGACTGATTTTTACTGGGGAAAATAATTATGATGATCAATTATGAGATTGATAAATAATAAACTGATTAGTGACCCATCCGATGGCGATAAGCAGATTATCTGTAATCACAACTTATAACACCTGTTGTAAATGTTAATTAGCTGAGGGTCATAAACTTGTCAGAAACAATAAGACAGGTAGAATTATAGTATTTTCATGCGAAAATATTTTTACTCTTTTCAAATTTAAGTGACGAAATTGATTTGGAATACTTACGTCATTTTGAAAACCGTTTCGTAAATGACGAAAATGACGAGCGCTAGCAAAATCACTGCTATTATCACATTTTTGTCCATTGTTCTGGTCAACAATCAAAATCATATTTCTGAATTTACTGTACACATCTACACTGATTTAATATTTTGAGGTTTAAGGACCAAATTTATTACTCATCATACATTTAACTCTTCTCCCTCATTATATATTGCATAAAGTGAATGGAAGATATGTAATTATAAATGGGGCGTTTTTATCTAGTGGGAGAGGGGACTTTTATTTGGTGGCCTTTTGTCTGGGTTTGTTTGTGTCCTAGACCCATGGAATCTAATTACATTTCAAAATATAAGACAATATGGTCACTGCTACTTTCAGAATTTGAACATACGAATTCTGAAGTTTAAATAAAAAAAACTTACAATGTCATCTAGACGAAGTCCAACTAATGTAAAATGTCCAATATGGAAAGGACAAAAGGCTGTAATAAAATAAATCAAAATATCAATATATATTTCTTTCTGTCAAGCAAGTAAAAATTTTTAAAGGTTTTCTTTTTAAATTATCATTAATACCTTCAGGTGACTAGACAAACAACAGTAAAAGAATTGTTCTTTTGATTGGTTTATCATCAAATTAATATCTCATGTACTATCGTCCCATATAAGATAGTACACATGTAGTACAAAAACATAACATTTCATTAAAGTAAAATATTTCATTAGTGTTGTTTGAAAATATTTGTATGTAGCCATAGTATCAATTACTTTTTTCTTTTGTTTTTCTGTGTGATAATAATACAAAACTTTAATGATTGACTAATATCAAGTCATTTAACTGAACAACCAATCTAAAATCATAAAGATAAGACTTACCAAATACCAATATAAACAATGTGTTTAATGATACCACCCAAAAAACATGTTCCTGAAAAATAACATAGTATTTTGCACATTTTTATGTTAGACATGTTAGACAGGGAAACAATTAATTGATTCAAACAAAGCAATACATTTTCACAGGGTATCTATTCTGAAAGATTTCTTGTAACAAACAAAACATGAAAATTAGTGCTGAATGAAATAAATATTTTCCTTAATTCCTAATGTATTAACCTTAAAGCCATGCAATTTTAAAAATGGCTGACAACAGATATTTTGAAAATGAGAGTAGATTGACAATTTTGACACCAGAAATCAGTTGTTATCTCTGGTTGTGAAAGTGCTGTCTAATTGCTGTTTACCCTATATCTCCTTTATTCATATGCTCTTTCATTTTCATTATTTTAAATTACTTACTGCTATATGTAATATTTATACCTGCAGCATATGAATAAATGTTTTCACTTACATCTGTTAGAACTGACCAAAAAGTTTGTATTTTGCAATGTGAACTCATCCATTTATTCAGTGTATTTCACTCATAAGAACCTTTTAACAGATAACATTAGGTATCATTACAGATTCAAGCATATTCTAACACCCTGTGTAAGATATTCTTAATATGTAACATACTCATTTCTTAGATATATTACACAAAATCTGCCTCTTCCTCTTTTTTTGTTCCATTAAACTTTTATTTTAGTTCCAAAGTCTCTTCATGGAAAGTTTTAAGCTTTTTGGTTTGTTCTTTTAGATAATTGATTGTATGTACTTATGACCTTGAAGGTTTCTTGTTGTATATTTGTACTGAAACATCTTGTGTTTTTAACATTACTATACATCAAACATATACTTACTAAAAATACCAATGATCCATCAAGTCCAAGAAGCTAAAAAAGAAACATGCTTAGTATTATTTATAAGATATCTACTAAATAAAGCAACTGAAGCCTGTACCTATCTTACTTAAAAGTTGATAGAACTTTACTGTTTTGATTAGAAAGCAGGAATAGCTAAAATTGTATGTATATCATGTATATAACATACAATATACATAATAATATTTTTTGAGTTATTGTCCGAAACTGGAAAATTGTCCTTTTTAAATGAATAAAACCCCATAACTCAGAAAAGTAAAATTTAAAATTAATAAAAATCGAAAGGAAGCGCACGTCAATAGATATAAACAATTCACCAAAGTTTCATGAAAACTGCTCAAAGCATTTTTGAGTTATTGTCCGAAAACTGCAAAATCCCCCTATTTAATTAATAAAACCCCATAACTCAGAAACGTAAAATCTAAAATTTATAAAAATCAAGCTAACGTCAACAGATATAAACAATTCACCAAAGTTTCATGAAAACTGCTCAAAGCATTTTTGAGTTATTGTCCGAAAACTGCAAAATCCCCCTTTTTAATGAATAACACCCCATAACTCGGAAAAGTAAACTATAAAATTTATAAAAATCGAAAGGGAGCTCACGTCAATAGATATAAACAATTCACAAAAGTTTCATGCAAATTGGTTAAAGTGTTTTTGAGTTATTGTCCGACATGTTGAAAGACTAACAGACAGATGGACAGACAACGGTATACCATAATACGTCAAGTAAATGGGCATATAAAAACGATATGGATTAAAGCAAGCTGAAGCCCATATTGTTTGCTAGAGATGACTAAACTTTTCATGAACAACAGGAGATTTTTTGTATTGTACTGAACTATTAAAGTGATAAAAAACCAGCAGGGTTTCATTTTGACTGTGATATTTAATATTGATTTCGGCCATATTTATATATCAGAGTATTATTCAAACAGTACAAACATTTTTTCTAATATTTTAAATGCAATTGCTCTATTCTAGATTATAAAGAAAATAAATGGTCTTTTTATTATCTTGAAATATCTTACTTTTTTTTTTCTTTTTATATAAGTATATATAAATTAAAGCAGGCAATGAGGAATTTTAAAAATTCTACCCAACTATGTTCAGAGACTGAATTGCCACTTTAGACAGGACATTCCCTTTTATAAAAGAGGGCACACCTATTAGTTTCCAGATTGGCTGGACAGCTCTATGAACAGACCTATGGAAATTGCAACAAGTACTCATCTTAACCGGTATGTTTACAATAACTGTTACCTACCCGTTCCCAAGTTAATTCTTCTGCTGCTCTGTCCCATTCTATTGGGTTCCAGTTTATTTCATCTGAAACAATATAAGTATTATGAGATGACATTTCATTTTGTTTTTGTTTATTCAGTATCATAACCCTGCTAAGACCACATTTATCCTGATCAGTTGCAAGATAACATAATTTTCATTTTACAGAACACCTTAGTTGATATATATATATATATTAAAATGCAAATGTCTTAATTTGAATCTAGCAAACATCTTACCTTGAGCAGCATTGTTGCCATTGTTTCCACCTTCAATCCCATCATCCTCTATTTCTTCCTCATTGATTTCTCCAGCAGCAGGCGCTTGTTGATTGTTATCTTCATTTTGATTGGCTGGTGCTGCTCTTGGAGCTCCACCTCCAAACCCTCCTACTAAGTTATTGACCATTCCTGCATCCAAGAAATTCTACAAAATATAATGATCAATATTAAACTAGAGGCTCTCAAGAGCCTGTGTCGCTCACCTGTATTTACTGATGCTTTGGAAATCATGTAAAATAAGGTTAAAATCATAATTAATAGTATTAGATATTAGATATTATAATGATATCTAAGATAATAACAAAAAACTGCAAAATTTTTGTAAAATTACTAACTCATGGGGGCAGCAACCCAACAACGGGTTGTCCCTTTCATCTGAAAATTTCAGGGCAGATAAATCTAAATCTGATGAACATTTTTGCCAACTGTAAGATTTGCTCTAAATGCTTTAGTTTCAGAGATAAAAACCAAAAACTGCATTTTACCCCTATGTTCTATTTTTAACCAAGTCGGCCATGATGGTTGGAAGGCGGGATCATCGGACAATTTTTTTCAACTAGATACCCTAATAATGATTATGGCCAAGTATGGTTAAATTTGTCTCAGTAGTTTCAGAGAAGAAGATTTTTGTAAAAGATTACAAAAATTTACAAAAAATTGTTAAAAATTGACTATTAAGGGCAATAACTCCTAAAGGGGTCGACTGACTATTTTGGTCATGACAACTTATTTGTAGATCTTACTTTGCTGAACATTATTGCTGTTTACAGTTTATCTCTATCTATTATTATATTGAAGATAATAACCAAAAACTGCAAAATTTCCTTAAAATTACCAATTCAGGGGCAGCAACCCAACAACAGGTTCTCCGATTCATCTGAAAATTTCAGGGCAGATAGATCTTGACCTGATAAACAATTTTACCACGTGTCAGATTTGCTCTAAATGCTTTGGTTTCAGAGATATAAGCCAAAATCTACATTTTACCCCTATGTTCTATTTTTTAGACGGACGACGACGACGATGGACGCAAAGTGATGAGAAAAGCTCACTTGGCCCTTCGGGCCAGGTGAGCTAAAAATGGAGATATGATATGATTGCAAATGAGACAACTTACCACTACAACCTTCAACAATGAGCAAAACCTATACCCTACAGTAAGCTATAAAAGGCACTGTGATAACAAAATGTGAAACAACTTAAAAGAGAAAACTTTGTCCAATTTGAGCAAATAAAATTAAACAGAAAAAAATATGGGTCCATAGGAAAGGATGCCCCACTTGCACTATCAAATTTCCATGTTCAGTAATATTCATAATCTAGGTCAACCCTAATTTTCATATACATATTTAAAAAAAAAAAAAAATCCTAATAAACATGTTAACTACTGTTTCAAGTTGATGTGAACCAAACTTCATGGTTAACTACCTTGACCAAATATTTAACCTGATACGGAATGGAAGAACAAATGTACAGAACAAAAATCATAATGATCCCATATGGGGGCATAAAAACGATAACCACTGGACTACAGGCTAATAAATTTAAATTTCTTTCTATTCTATCAATCACATTACTATGTAATGTATCCTGTTAACGGTACATATCTTAACGCCATTTTCCCTATTAAAAGAATAATCAGTCTCATTTATTCAGAAGTTTTATGGTACAAATAACAGTTTAAAATGAATTAGAAACACAAAATCCAAACTAAGAAAATCCTTACATTTATATACTTCAGTACTGATATGATTAATAACAAACCTTTCTAAAATTGTCCATTAATAAATTTTGATATTATTTGAAACTCAGTTTTCAACTCCCTCAGGCAAAGTTGACCTTAGATGAATTTGGCCTTTTTTTTAGGTCCATTTTGGTATTATAGCTCTTCAACTGTTTTAGTTCTTATACATAAACATCCTTGGCTTTCAAATATTCGGCTTTGAGCATTCCTGATGAAGGTAAATCCAGAAAAGCACTTCGAATGCATGAAATTCATAACATGTTGTTTTTTTAATTTTTTATAGTAAATTGTTTGAGTGTACAAATACATTGGTGTAAAGGAAGGAATTATAATACAGTTGTGAAGTAAAGATACAGCCTTGAAGATGCAATACACTTATCAAAATATGATTTTAGGATCTCATTTGTGAAAAGTTCTGTCATATAAATACTAACCATTAACACTAAGGCACTTCATCAATGATAGCTGTAATGGGCTAAGTATTTTTGCAATAAAAGTGTTTTAAAGTTGAGGTATTTAGAAGATCAAGGCTGGAAACTTTTGCTTTATAGTTCATACTATATATGTAATTTGATAGTTGAACTATCATAAACAATTGCTACAAATTATTTCTTTTGTTTATGAAAATTTTAACTTATGTGTCTATAATGCAATCCAAAGCTAAAATCCTTTCCAAACTACATTACTGGATAAACATAAAATGAGTATACCCTTTGTGGATTCTGTCCTTGGTCATCTTGTTCTAACCACTCAGGTCCACCACCATGAAGGATCTGTTCTCGTAACCATACCAGACTTATAAATGCACATAATGTACATGTTACAACAAAACACCCATAGAAGCAATCTGATGCTATGTTTTCCCTGAAAATAGAAGTATTATGAACAGCATATCAGATATCACCAATATGAATGGGTATGACTTTTCGGTAAATGACTGTTACAGCTAAACTACTATATATCAGGAAACTTTCATTTATGTCTATTTTCTGAGTAGACATTTAATTGCGAAATTTACCTTTCGCTAACATTTCAATGTTCATTTAAATGCATTGGACATGTATTATGTGTAGAGCAAAGATTTAACTGTGCAATATAAGGTCCAAACCACAAACAAAAACTGAAGGAAAATAATCGAATATACAGAATTTGTGTGTGCATTTATAGGTAAACTTTAAGTCTGCTGGTTTGTCAGTGGAACCATGATTTTTTTATTTATTGCTATTTTTGAGATAGAAACAAAGAGTTTACACAAGTATTTTCAAAAGGTAGTATGCTGATGATGGATACCAGTAGGTGTTTCATGTCCTGTGTCAAATATAACATTCATATCAGGCCAAGAACTTAGAGATACTTACGTTGAAAGCATATCTAATGGCAGTGTTAACAAAGAACTGACAGATCCCGTAAACAAACATCTGTATATACGACCTAAATAAATATGAAGACATTCTGTATATAATAGCAAAATACATGTAGACATTTTATAGTGTTTTGATGTAGCTCCCAATCAAATGAACAATAAACAGTACAACTTGCATCATTTTTTAATCATATTTATATCATAATTGCATATGAGCAATGAATAATACTTTGCTTTCAATTAATTGTGTTTAAAACAGTCAAAATATCTTTTTCATCTTTGCAGAATTGTTAAGACAAACTATCATCATACTTAATGTTAAAATCTTATGAATAGAATTTTGAAGAGGTTGACTAAAGTATTCTGAAATTTCATAGATATTAGTGTCTTCTCCTCTTTTTAAAAGAACTTATCCAGTTATCAATGTTTGTTAATGCTCATACTTTTAACACTGTTGAATTGCATACGAGCAATGAATAATACTTTGCTTTCAATTAATAGTGTTTAAAACTGTCAAAATATCTTTTTCATTGTTAATAAATCAGCAGAATTGTTAAGACAAACTATCATCATATTTAATGTTAAAATCTTATGAATAGAATTTTGAAGAGGTTGATTAAAGTATTCTGAAATTTTCATAGATATTAGTGTCTTCTCCTCTTTTTAAAAGAACTTATCCAGTTATCAATGTTTGTTAATGCTCATACTTTTAACACTGTTGAATTGCATATGAGCAATGAATAATACTTTGCTTTCAATTAATTGTGTTTAAAACAGTCAAAATATCTTTTTCATCTTTGCAGAATTGTTAAGACAAACTATCATCATATTTAATGTTAAAATCTTATGAATAGAATTTTGAAGAGGTTGACTAAAGTATTCTGAAATTTCATAGATATTAGTGTCTTCTCCTCTTTTTAAAAGAACTTATCCAGTTATCAATGTTTTTTAATGCTCATACTTTTAACACTGTTGAATTGCATACGAGCAATGAATAATACTTTGCTTTCAATTAATAGTGTTTAAAACTGTCAAAATATCTTTTTCATTGTTAATAAATCAGCAGAATTGTTAAGACAAACTATCATCATATTTAATGTTAAAATCTTATGAATAGAATTTTAAAGAGGTTGATTAAAGTATTCTGAAATTTTCATAGATATTAGTGTCTTCTCCTCCTTTTAAAAGAACTTATCCAGTTATCAATGTAAATTTTTTTTTACAAGAAATTTAAAGTCTTATGACTGTATACGTATATGCTGTTTGGATTTGATTAATTTAAACTAACTAGAAAGGAAGGTCATACAGTATATAATTTGATCAAACTTACATGCTGTTAGTGGTACAACTCCCAACCAAGCAAAAGCTACCAATGTATAATGTAACCAGTATCGTACAGCTCTGCCTATACTTTTCAATAATCCACCAAATATATCCTTTACAGGTAACCTCTTTGGCATATCAGGGGAATAAACTGAAATCACAAGTCACATTATTAATCTCTTTGTACTTTAATAGAGGATCAACTGAAGTAATCTAGATCTGTGAGTGAACTCACAAAAGGAAACCCCCAGCCCAAAAATACTATCAGTATATTCAAAATATAAATGTTATATTCCATTATGCACATCCTCAGGGAAAGTTCTATAACTGTGTTAAGTTTCATCAATATCCTTCTAGCTGTCATTAGAAGCTGCACTAGATACTATTACCCTATATACCAATATTGAAGTAAGCAAGTACGTCAGATTATTTTACTTTAACATGTAGTGCTGAGATTTTATTCCTTTATGCACATCCTCATGTAGTTTTCTATACCTGTGTAAAGTTTCATCAATATCAATCCAGTCCTTTAGCAGTTGTGCTTACAAGGCAAATGGTTGGACAGAGGATTCCTATATACTCCCCATAATTTAATGGTCTTAGCATTGTTTTATAAGGTTTTCATATGATTTTGATTTATGACATGTAACAGTTAGCTAAGTATGACTAAGACATGTAAGAGGAAAGGCATCAATTTGTTTTCTTTCTTTTGGGGAAGCAAATGTAGATTTGTTGGTTAAACTTTTGAAACAATGTTTATTTAATAATGTTTCATTTCATATTCATATTTATCATGTCGTTTACAACAGCAACAATCATCAGACAGAACACATAATATAAGTTACCTTTGGTATCTACTAGACACAGGTCCAACCAATTTTGGCAGATAAATTTATGTGTAAAATTTTACCAAAATAAACTTACTGGGTGTGAATGCAAATCTGTGTTTACATAATTCACAATATTCTTTTCTACTGTACTTCAACCATTGTACCAAGCTGTAACAGATGGAACATGAATGCATTGTATGTATTAGTTCACAGACAGACTTACCTGATTAATACACGAAAAAAAGTGCGGAAAACTTATTATTTGAGTGAATTTTCTAAGTCCAAGGACCATAACTCTGCACAAAATCATCAGACCGGAACAAAATTCAAACTAGATCTGTAACTTGTCATGATAAAACAATACACCAAATATCAAATCAATATCTTCAAGCATGAAGAAATAAATGTGGATAGTGTCCACATGTGGACACAGATGATGCCCCCGCTTGCATATCATATAGTTATAAAGGGACATAACTGAAGAACGGTAAAAGTGACCCTACCCAAATTTGAACTTGATCTGAGTTTTGTGGTAATAAGCATTGTAAGTAGTCTTATAACATTTGGTTGAGGCTAACTTAAGTAAAGAACAGAAACTAAAAATTCAGCAATTTTTCTATTTGTAAACACTCATAACTCTAGAACGGTTGTGTATAAGTTTTATCACATTTGGTTGAGACAAACTAAAGTTAGAGAACGGAAATGAAAAATTCAGCAATTTTTATGTTTATAAAGGGACATAACTCAAGAATGGTAAAAGTGTCCTCACCAAATTTCGTACTTAATCTGTATTATGTAGCAATAAGCATTGTGTATAAGTTTCATAACATTTGGTTGAGGCAAACTAAAGTTAGAAAACAGAAACAAAAAATGTGTACTTGATCTTAGTTTTGTGGTAATGAATATTGTGTATAGGTTTCATAATGTTTGGTTAGGGCAAACTTAAGTTACAGAAGGGGAACTAAAAATTTTGCAATCTTTTGGTTTATAAAGGGGCATAACTCAATAATGGTTAAAGTGACACTACCCAAATTCAACTTGATCTGTGTTTTATCAGTGGAAGTCAAAATTAAACATTGCATTGTATAAAGCATTGATTGTAGTTGATTCAACTATAATCATGGACAAAGGAAGATAACTCCAATTTTAAAATTACTTGATATTTAGAAGAAAATAAAAATTTTGCAATTTTCCATTTCTAAAGGTGCATAACTCTAGAACGGTTAAAGTGACTCCACCAAAATTCAAACTTGATCTGTGTTTTGTGGTAATAAGCATTGTGTATAAGTTTCATAACATTTGGTTGAGGCAAACTAAAACAAGAAATGATTGTAACAGGATGATGTTATGAAGTCTCCCAAACGAAGCTCCCATAATTCGTAATTCCCAGGGTCGCCCGACATTGGACGAAGTCCAGTGAAAATTGGTTTGGTCCCGTAAAGTTATATGCATTAGTGATGCCTGGGGACTAACCCTGTATATTATTCAAATCATCTTGGCATGACAAACTAGAATATACAGGGCTCACACTACTTCAGAATCATAGGGAGAAGTGACTTCTCTTTTTGAAACTGATAGGGAGAAGTGGTGAGATTTGAAAGAGAAGTGCTCCTTCGCGTGCTGCGCTACTATGTTTTGATTTTACTATAGTATAAAGGGTCATATGTAAATAATGTTCTTTTTATATTGTTCAATTCATGTCTGAGTATACAATTAAATTAACAGTTCAAATTCAAAGTTGTTTAAGTTTAGGTTCTTGTGAGAAACTACCAACTAAATATCTAGCACTAAAAAGAATTTTTTTTATGTCAAAAAGGTAAAGAAATTATAATATATGAATTACAATTCAATTAAAAACTATCTTGTTTATCATGTTTATGAAATTCAGTGTTTCTCATCAAAAGATATACAAAGTTAAGCTGGGCCATAATATATTGATATTAGTAGTTAAGCAACTTTAATCAATATTTTGAAACAATCCATATAAATTATATGGAATTATATACATTAATCAATTAGATCTAACCAAAAGTCTGTTAATGCGTGTGGAATGCGTAATTTTTCCTTTTGGGATCAATATTCTTCTGTCAGCTGTTCCATTCATGCGTCCGTAGTTATTATTGTAAAAATACGGATTTCGGTCATAACTGGTCCGGTTCCGATCTGTAGTTAGTAAACGGTTAATGGCGGAAGAAGAAAATTTACAAAAATAAACGATGTTTGACAAGCTATTTGGAAAGGAATATGACGTTTTTAATGCAATAAATGGATTTAAAATTTACTGGAGGCAACTTTTATCACTTTCAAATGAAGTAACAAACTTATTTTGCCGCCGAAAGTTAGATTGATGTACGCTCTCTGAGTAACAAGTACCGGAAGTGCATGCAGTGATAAAAAGTTGTCTTTTTATTAAATAACCTGCTACACACTGTAAAGTCAATGCTTAAACCTCTTTTCTTAAGAAAATGAATCGTTTATGTCTGAATTTCTTTAATAATCAATAAAAAATTGATGTTTTATCAACTTGGTAAAAATTGAAAATGTCCGATGACGAAAGCGAGTATCGTAAACAACAGGGCGACTTGTTTTCCCTTTTGAGGGTCGGGCAAAGCGAAGTGTCAGACGAGAAAGCGACTTCTTCGCCCTAGTCGCTTGGTAGCGTGAGCCCTGATATATATGGTTTAGGGGTGGGGATCTCGACCATTTACAAGATACTAGAACATTGGGAGTGGGGGGAACCCCTGGGGACTGACCCTAAACGTCATTCAAATGTTTGAGACATGACGAACAGGAATATATATGGTTTATGGGTGGGGATCTCAACTATTTACAAGATATTAGAACTTTCTCAAATGGCAAGGGGTCAGGATGACCCCTGGGGACTAACCCTGTATATCATTCAAACCATCTTAGCATGACAAACCAGAATATATATGGTTTCGGGGTGGGGATCTTGACCACTTACAAGGTATTAGAACTTTCTTAAATGACAGGGGGTGGGGGTGACCCCTGGGGACTAACCCTGTATTTCATTTGATGTGCTTTATCATGAAAAACCAGAATATATATGGTTTAGGGGTGGGGATCTTAACCATTTACAAGATATTAGAACTTTCTAAAATGGCAGGGGGTCGTGATGACCCCTGGGGACTAACCCTGTATATCATTCAAACCATCTTAGCATGACAAACCAGAATATATATGGTTTAGGGGTGGGGATCTTGACCACTTACAAGGTATTAGAACTTTCTTATATTGCAGGGGATGGGGGTGACCCCTGGGGACTAACCCTGTATTTCATTTGATTTGCTTTATCATGACAAACCAGAATATATATGGTTTAGGGGTGGGGATCTTGACCATTTACAAGATATTAGAACTTTCTAAAATGGCAGGGGGTCGGGATGACCCCTGGGGACTAACCCTGTATATCATTCAAACCATCTTAGCATGACAAACCAGAATATATATGATTTAGGGGTGGAGATCTTGACCACTTACAAGTTATTAGAACTTTCTTAAATGGCAGGGGGTGGGGGTGACCGCTGGGGACTAACCCAGTATTTCATTTAATGGGCTTTATCATTTAGAATATTTTCAATTAAAAAGATTGTGTCTATCACAAACGGTTTTCAATCTATAATCATTTGAAAATTTTAAAAAATAAAATCCCATAGGGTTCTATAGTAAAACCCTCTTTTCTTTTTGCCCCTCAAAGTACCCCTTTATAAACCCCATTGCACAAACAAAACCCTGATTGCACCACTAGACATGTTAGTCTAACATACTGTGAAACCCTAAGTTAATCTGACAAGCAGTTTTGGAGAACGGGTGCAGACAAGCTCATATTTAAAAGCGGCGGAAGAGGAAGAAGAAGAAGAAGAAGAATAATAATAATAATAATAAGAACTGAGCAAAAACAATAAGTCTTCTCAAACTTCGTTTGGGAGACTTAATTAGAAAACGGAAATGAAAAAAATCAGCAATTTTTCCATTTGTAAAGGGGCATAACTCTAGAACGGTAAAAGTGACTCCACCAAAATGCGAACTTGATCTGTGTTTTGTGGTAATAAGCCTTGTGTATAAGTTTCATAACATTTAGTTGAGGCAAACTAAAGTTAGAGAACGGAAACGAAAAATTCAGCAATTTTTTCATTTGTAAAGGGGCATAACTCTAGAACTGTAAAAGTGACGCCACCAAAATTCAAACTTGATCTGTGTTTTGTGGTAATAAGCATTGTGTATAAGTTTCATAACATTTGATTGAGGCAAACTAAAGTTAGAGAACGGAAACGATAAATTTAGCAATTGTCCATTTGTAAAGGGGCATAACTCTAGAACGGTAAAAGTGACTCCACCAAAATTCAAACCTGATCTGTGTTATGTGGTAATAAGCATTGTGTATAAGTTTCATAACATTTGATTGAGGCAAACTAAAGTAAGAGAACGGAAACCAATTTTGGGACGTACATACGTACAGACAGACAAGGGTAAAACTTAATGCCCCCTCCCCTACGGTGGGGGCATAAAAAAGTGTGAAAACTGATTTGCCAGACTTATGGATGGACAGACAGATGGAGTGCAAACCTAAAGTCCCCTTCGACTTCGTCGGTAGGGGACTAACAAAGCTAAAATGTTATTAAGTTTATAAAACATAAAGCTTTGTACTGTGGATTTATTCATTTTTCAAGGGAATAAATTTTTGTGGATTGAGAAAAAAATTATATTTTCATGCTATTTGATTTCCTGGTCTGCTTACAAGTTTATAGAAAATTTGTACTTCACTGGTATCCCAGAAATAATAATGATTCCACAGTTTACCACCTCAATATTTAAAAGTAACATTAATTTGATTGAAACATACCACTCTTGATGCACAAACTTGATACTACCAGTACATACACATGGATGAAAAAGTGGTTTGTCTGGTGTACTCTCACATCGACACACTCGACAAATGTCTACAAAATAAATTCTTCTTATCATATGAGCAATTGGCAAACATAACAATTGATAAACATTGACCTTTCGTCAAATGAGCTTTCAATGTACAAATGTAGTGGTGTACAATGTGTATAGCAATGCAGTTTTAGTTTTAACCAATTTTGTCTTTAAATTTTTCAGGTATGTATCAATAAGGGTAAAATAACACGAGCCAGTCTGAAAAATGAGTTGTATTCATCATAAAAGGAGCTTACAATTTCCCACAATTTTGTATATTTGATCACCCACAAGTCCTATGAGGCAAGTGGTTACCTGTGAAAGAGGACATTTTTTTGTTTTCTTCTGTTACATCATACCTGCCAACCCTCCCGTTTTGAGCAGGAGTTGAAATACCGGAAATCTCCCGCTTTCGGATATTTTAACCCGGAATGCATTGGAATGACCCGCGTTCGTATTTCTCAGGACTTTTCTTTACTGTCAATAAAAAGAAACAAACAATCAGGGATCATTTGAAAACTGTGGTCAGAAGTTTTTATGTTCGATTTATTAGTAATCGAAAATGATTTCTGCTATGTTAACTCCAACAAGATAGAGGTCTTTATCTGGACCAAGCGGCAGTGTAAAAAAAGAAGAAATATAACTGCAGATAAGATGAAAAATTTCAACTTTTACGACCATGTTCACTCGGCACAATGAACCTTTATTGTGCATATTATGTTCCATCAAATTTTCGGTTGCTTCTGGTACCAGGTCTGTACGATGTTCAAAACCATGCTTAGTGTGAGACTCACAACAAAATCAAAATATGGAACCATGAATTAAAGAAATAAAATATATTTATTAACTCTTATTGGTTTTTTGTAGATGAATAAGTGTACAGGTCATATATTTAGCTTGAAATTTCAATCGCGCAAAATCTCCAACTCAGCTGTCATAGCTGAGAGGAAGATCTCCCTCTTTGAAGGTTTCAAACATTGGCAGGTATGTGTTGCTTAGTCTTTAGTTTTCTATGTTGTGTCATCTGTACTATTATTTGTCTGTTTGTCTTTTTATTTTTGGCCATGTTGTCAGTTTGTTTTCGATCTATGAGTTTGACTGTCCCTCTGGTATCTTTCGTCTCTCTTTTACATGAAAACGAGTACGTCAATATTATAAGACAGGCAACAAAATGCAAAATGAGCTTCAGGGAAACTCAACTGATGGATTTTTTGTATTTACATTTTGACATGTCTATCATCTCCAATTACATTTATATATATATTTAGAAATAATCATAAGTTTAAATAAATGGTACTTTAAATAGCAAAACAAATTGCTGTCTGGAACGATCTCCCAGAAACAATTTGCATGTCACCCTCCCTAGAATCCTTCAAAGGTGGTATCTCCACCTTAACATTTGGAGGTTCTAGTCTGGCTAATTAATTAGTGTATTTAAGCCACTGTACATAATGTGAATATGTTTAACATTAAGCATGTTAAGCTACAACTAATGTTATTTCAAATTGTAATTGAACTGTGGCAAATATTTTTATTTTATTATAATAAAATTTTCGACATCCATTTGCATGTACATAGCGCCACAGTTCCGGGATATTCCACACTCCGGCACCAGAGTCATTCCCGTACCAGGAAGAAGAAGAACAACAACAAGTGTGAACATGAATCAACATGATCAAGGGAATATGACTTCGATTCATCTGTCTTTTTCTGGATACAGGATAATGCTCCTACTCCTAGGTAGGAGAGTAAAATATCCAGGCTTCACATCTCCTTATTTCAATGATGTATCCACATCATATTACTATTTTCAAGACAATGGGTTTCAAGCATGGTATTGCCTACCATTATAAATCAATATTCTGACTGCATTTAAACTGTGTATATATTTCTTTTAATTTACATGTAGCATAAAGTAATATAACAAAAATACCGAACTTCAATGAAAATTCAAATCGGAAAGTCCCTTATCAAATGGCAAAATCAAAAGCTCAAACACATCAAACGAATGGAAAACAACTGTCACACTTCTGACTTTTCACAGGCATCTCCGTATGTAGAAAACGGTGGACCAAACCTCTCACTTGTATGACAGTCGCACAAAATTCCATTACATTGACAACAAGGTGTGAATAGGCAATTTTATTAAATTAGTCTTTGCTGAATTTCTGCACTTTGTCCGATTCAACTTTTGAATAAGGAAGAAAGCTGTCGTGTACCATCAATCCTACTCAATTTGAATGTTATATGAAACATGTAGCTTCATTTGTGCGAAATATAATTGTTTCTTCTACTATCATTAAAACATGATCCTTATATTACCCACCTAAGAGTCCATCTGGATCCAGAGGCTCGTCCATTTTCGATTTTGTGAAAGTTCAAGGTCAGATTGTCGTTGTCGTAAACAATAATATTCGTCAAATTATTTCTATTACAAAAATATGTTTTATTGGCATGATAAATTAATGAAACTTCTAGAAATTTAGATATAGACAAAAATGAAATAAAATAAATATATTTTACGTCAATATTTATTCTTATTTGCGATAGGAAACCAGGGACGCGAAAATTTTCTAAAAACAAATCTGAAATGTGAGAAAGAAACAGTCACTTCATATGGACAATGGATGAAGAAGAGTTATCAGTTGAAATAGCACAAGAAGAGAGTGAGGGTCGAACCACGGCAACATGGGAACACGAAGATTTAGCACAGGTTTATGAAATTAAAATTTAATTTGCCTTCTTTCATGCATTTACCATTTAGGGTTCCCAACCTATAGAACTGTAGACTTAAGGTTCATCATAACAAATGGACAAACATGTCTGTATTTACACACCAAAAACTACTCGGAGTACAGACTAATCTGTGCAATTGGAAAAGTTTAAAGGCCTGGCACCCACTAGATATATAAAATTAAAGTGCATTTTGTGTTTCAGAAAGATAAAATCTTTTTTGGATTTTGATGGGCATTTTTTTCGTTCCTGTTGTTGGTGTAAAAATAAACAAACACCTGATTTACATTTGATACTGTCCACTCAGTTATACTCTTTAACTCACTTATTGTTGTGAAGATATCTATTGTCCATGTCAATCAAGGACAATCAATACAATACAGTTGTTACCTGAGAGGGAGCATCTCAAAGATTTAACCCAACTTAGTTTATTTTTACACTTTCTGCAGGTACAGAAAAAAATGCCCATCAAAATCCAAAAAAGATTTCATCTTTCTGAAACAAAAAAGGCTTTTAACTTTTATATATCAAGTGGATGCTAGGCCTTAAAACTTTTCCAACTGCACAGGTTAGTCTGTACTCAGAGTAGGTTTTGAGGTGTAAATACAGCCATTTTTATCCATTTGTTATGATGAACCTTAACAATGAATCCGGGTATGTTCGCCCAAAATCAGTTCACTCCAATTCGTGTTAACCCCCTTTCACATTTGCACCCTGAGTCCTTTGCACCCACCTCAGCTACAGCCAGATATGAAAATCTCTCTTGACTCAGAATATATCTAAAGCAATTAGTTGGAAAACTGGGTCCATTCACTTACAAATATGTTTGCCCAAATACCTGTTAGCCTGTGTCCATTTGCCTGTATAAAAGTTCATTCAAGGTCTGTTATTTTTTATTTCATTTGTTTTATTGTATAAACGTGTCATGATATAATATGAATAACAATTATTGTTCAAATACTATATGTTTTGTTTGATGTTGAAAACTTCATCACATGAACATCTATATTTAATCTATTTTTTCACTTTGTCCTTTTTGCTATCATACTTTCCCAAACATATTGTGACCTTTTTGAATGTTAAATGCACACATATCCATTGGCTATTTATAATCTTATTTCAAATACACAGAAAAATGATATATAGCATAAATTAGAAATAAGTTTGGACTTTGAAGATAAATAAAAATAGAAATGTATGTAATTTAATCTTTTTCAGCTTAGGATAAAGGTTTTTCGTGGCCATTTAGACTCAGTAAGAAGTTGTAAATACATTGACAATGATCAGAAAATCCTATCTGCCTCAGATGACAAGACTGTCAAGATTTGGGATGTAGAGACAGGACAAGTTCTCCACAACTATACAAGATGTCATGATAGCATTATATCACAAGCTAATGTCAATGACAATGGAAGAAGGTAAAGTATAAAATCTATATCCATGAACCATTTATTAGTATATTATTTATAACAAAAGACACCAAAGGGAAGAACATATTTATTTGCCTCATTAGTATTGACTCATCATAGAGTCATACATGTAGCATTTTGAAATATGTATGTATTTATTATTACAAGTTCAGTATATTGCAATAGCAACTATAATCTAAAATACATAGAGTTACCTATCTTTTGTACACTTCAAAGTTATGAATAAAAGGAGATCTATGTGGACAGTGGAGTATACATCATTGAGACAGAAACCCATCAACACAATCAACCAAACGACATCTTATTTAAAAAACACTCTTTGGTCATATAGTTCTTCAACTGTTTCGGTTCTTATACATCCAAGTGGCTTTCAAATATTTGGCTTTAAGTGTTCCTGATGAAGGTAAATCCAGAAAAATGCTTCAGACGCATAAAATTACTAAAGTGTTAGTTTTCATTTTTTTCTTCCTGCTTTTCTCCAACAATGAGTATTTTAAAGTCCATATCTTATTTAGCAAATGCCTAAATGCCTATGTCAGTAAAAAACAACAACTTTTCAACAAAATAAATATATTTAAAAAGCGACTGCACTAGTACATACATGTATATATGCATAGATTCTTTTCTTGAAGACTGTTGCAGCACGATCAAGAGATAACTGTCATCAAGTCAGGTGCATGTTTTTCTTTACAATTCAAAACCTATAATCTTGTTAATACCACCATGCTTTCAAGACTCCCCCATAAAGGCAGCAAAATAAGAAGTAATTTAAATAATTTTACAGTTTTGTTTGTTATTTATTTTATACTGACATTTTCAGATTGCTACTCACTTACAAGAGTAGGAATGGCCTTCATCGTCAAATATCAAATGGCAGGTTTTCGCTAATTATTAAGCATCAAATGAGACCTGAAATGCTATTGACATTTGTCATATTATAATTTTTAGCTTAGCAATATCGTCAAATGGAAATTATTTCATCATTTAGAGTACCCCACTCTTTCCATTATTTTTTACCAATACTGAAGTATAAGTAGAGGAGTAATCTGTTTGATATATTATTGCACAAAATAATAAGTGAATTTGAATCCCACAACTGATTTGTTCTTTCAACAAATAACGGACATGATAGACATGACATGAATGTAGTGTTGTTGCATGAATATAAATTGCTGATTAAAATATGAATAAAAGGAGTATACATCCATGTGACAGCAACCAAACAACAAAAATAACCAAAAAGACAAAAGTTTTATAATCTATTGAGATATAATGATCTGATGTAGATATTATAAAAGTGATAGAATATTTATCAATCATAATAACTGTTGTAAGTAGCTTAATTAAGTAAAAAGATAAAACAAAATATCACTGTTTTCACTATGTTGTCATTAATAGATACTTGATGCATTTATTGGTTTATTTTCCAGATTTGTTAGTTGTGGATGGGATAAGAAAGTTGCTGTTTGGGATATTGAATCAGGAAATTGTGTGGTGAGTTCATAGTTGACAAACTAAATCAGCTGGAGGCACTATAAGATAAATGTCACTACAATCTGGTATATATCTTTGTTAAGAGTGAAGAAGAGAAAAAAGATAAACTTTGATGAGAGAAAAGCCAATAGTAAAGATTTCTAAAGCCTTAAGCCTTTCCCATAAATTTTTTAACAGATTAAGAATTATTAAAATTAGAAGACTGACTTTTCAAATGTTGGAAGTATTTGTTTGTAATTGAATTAAACCAATTTTTACAAACTACCAAAAAATTGGTATACACTATACAGCAAATATTGATGAATTCAGAGTATGCATGTGATTTTCCTTTTTGCATAATTGATAATTTTAGCAGAGTGGCATGATATATGTAACAACCTCTAAATGAACACAGTAAACAAGTCAGAACCTAAATAACTTGTATTAGGTGTAAGCTTCTCATATCTGAGGCGTAAGCCCAAGAAGATATGAGAAAATTACATCTGATTTACATGGAAGTAATAAATAAATATTTTGTCTTTTCTCTTGTTCTAAAAAGAGCAAATAGTTTTGATAAAACAGGAAGAGCGTCATTATCTATAATTTTCCAGATGCAGTAACACTTTCAGAAGATGGTTTGTAGTTATGGATTTTGAATGAAATCTTAATTGCATCAGCCATGTATTTTTCTGTTATCAAATTGATACCTTATCACTGCTTTTGTATGGCAATATGAAACCCTGTACTATCTTGTCTTTTTCTGGTTTAATTGCCAAAAACTGAACTTTTTGCTGATAAATGATAACACTTCTATGTAAAATACTATGTTAAGCAACTGATCTATCAAAAGCTATATATGTATATGTACCTACTGTCAATTCATTATTATTCAAAGGATACGAATTGAGGATTTCATGTGTATAAGTTCACAACAGATTTTAATGTTCAACTTAGTACAAATTTTCTATAGTCTTGCACGCAGTCTTTGGCAACACCACAAAATCAAATATCCATCAAAATACGATTTTTTTCCTCAATTGAAGAAAATTTTTATCCATGAAAATAAATGAATCCACAACTAATATATAAAAAACTTTTTACAAAATGTATTTTAAGTTATTATATTGTTTCTGAAATGTGGACTAATGCTTAATCATATCCAGCTAAGTCTAAATTCTAAAGATTGCACTTAGAATTGAATTATGAGCTACAGAAAGAAGAAAAATGAAAAAAATATTTTCATTCCAGTGGTCAGGACAACATGCTGGTATTGTCACAAGTTGTAATTTTTCACATGATGGAAAATATGTAGTGTCTGGATCAGACTTAGATAACACAATTAAGATCTGGGACTCTAATACAGGAGATCTGATACATAATGTTGATGGTATGTACATAAAAATCTGTAATTAATCTGTTTCATGACAATTCAAAATGTATACTACTCATTGTATCTCTTAGGACTGGATATCTGAGGTAGACAATTATTATCGTGATCAAATGATTGTATTTGCTGTTTTTGTGGAAATGTTAAATTTTACACACAAACAAAATGGATGTATAATATATGTCACCTATAAATCCAACAAAGAAACATTATGTTATATGCAATTAGCTTGTTTAATTTTTGGAAAAGGAGAGTACTCAAGACCTTAAAATTTTAAATATTACAATGTTGGACTATTTAGATTTAACTGTTGAAAGTGTGAGAAATGATGTAAATCACAAG